TGGGTGAAGTGGTGACCAAGGACTCCTCCAGCGGGGATCCCTCGGATGGCTCGAGTTCGGCGAGTTCCTTGGAATCGGACTCCTCCTTGTGTGTCGATGGGGAAGCTGGTATTGATACCAGGACTTGTGGCGACCACCATTCCACAGGGGCGGTTGCCACAGGTGCCGATCCCCTGGTGGAAGGGGATTTGGAGAATCAGGGGTGACAAGGGTTTTGTGAACACCCGTTACCACGTGTTAAGTCCTCGGGCCCTTCGGAGTTGGCAGGCATTAGCCCTGCGGACTTGGCGTATTTCCGACCGGTCTTCGGACCTGTCTGAGCTATGCCTGCCCCGGGTCCCTCGGAATTTTGATCTGATCTGCCACTTCTCGGACCTCGTCGGATTCGGGGAAAAAGTGCCTAGGCTTGTGGCTGCGCTGTGACTTGTAGAGGAATCCGTGCTTGCACTGATCAACTCGCATGTCATAGGGCCAAGCCAGCAGCCTCCCTTCTGCATCCTGCTCGGGCCGGCTGCCATTTTGGGTCAGACTCACGACGGGTCTCGGTGTCGCGGGGTCTGTTTCCCGGGTTGTTCTTTTTCTTGCCCTCCCGCCCTCTCCTGGTCTTCTCGCTCAAGCCGGTCCCTCCTGCCGCCGGGCAGTATGGACAGACCGGGCGCGGAAGTTGACGCCAAGCTGACCCTGGCACGCCCCCCCGGAGCTGTGCCCGGACCCATACAAGGATGAGGTCATGAAGATTGAAGAACATGTCCGTTTGGTCCTTGCCAGGCACCAGGTCCCGTGGCTTGTCCTCTTTGTCATGGGGAAGCAGGGCTTTGTCACGGCCCAGGACTGGGCAGGCCGTTGGGACGAAAAGGAACTCCGGAAGGAGGCCCCCAAGTTGGGCTTCTCACCAGGCCAGAATGGTTACGACGAGCACACTTGTGTCCTCACAGCGATACGCCTGGAGAACGCGGTGGAACAGTTCAAGCTCCTCAAGAAAAGGAAACTTGCCGAGGTGGACATCCACTCGGTCGAGGACTACAAAGCTATGATTGGCAGAGGTGACCGCCAAGAAATGAGGGCGGCTTACCTCGCCAAATTTGGCACGGAGCCGGAACGGAAATATGAAGGATCGGACCATATGCTTGGGGTCATGAAGAGGGTCCTGTACCGGGGCGAGTTCCTGTCTGGATCCCAGCTGGATCTCAACAAGGTCGTGGCGAACCACCCCAAGGATGGTGAATTGAAGTTCCAGAAGCGCCAAAGCAAAGAAGACGAGGAATGGATCCATGAGGAATCCAACCGTGTTCAGTCGGAGAAACAGTGGAAGCGGGTCCTCATGATCTGGCGTACGTCCCTTCTCATGGTCGTTGCGACATGCACGGGGCCTTCTTGCATTCACCTCACCAAGGCCGACCTGGACGATTTCTATAACTTCCTTTTCGGAGACACCATTATGGGTCGTGAACCAGCCCCCTCCTTGGGGGTTCTGATGACTGCGGAGAGGAAGGTCTGGCGGCAGGTTGCCCTCAACATGGCCGAGGATGAGACCTTGACTATCTCATCTGCCCTCAAGGATATCCGGAATGACTCACGCTTCTGGTTTATGGAAATCGACGAGTTCTGCCTTCGCCGCCATCACACATTCCAGCCCAAGGGCCCAAGGAAAGGCAAGGGCAAGGGCAAGGACAAAGACAAGGGCAAAGTCACCCAGCAGTGGGACCACTGGAAGGGCAAAGGCAAGAAGCCGGGCAAAGGCAAAGGCAAGTCCAAGAAGGAAGACTGGCGCTGGTCCACTCGCTCGGAGGAGACGGTGGAACCTCCCCCTCCTCCAACAGCTACTTTCGCTCGCACTAAGGCACCGCACCATGAGTGGGCGCCTAAAGGATCGGACGGCAAGGAGTTCTGCAAGAAGTACCATGCCTTCAACAGGTGCCCGTAGAGGTGGGATCTCCCAGGATGTACTTTCTGAGGAGACCTTTTTTTTCTGACCTTTGTGCCCTGGCCCTCTCTGGCGACCTCATGGCAATCATCGGAGGGCCCAATTGCAGGACTTGGTCAATTCTGCGACACTTTCCTAGAGCTGGCTGTCCTGGTCCAGTCAGGGGCAGGAAAGGCCAATCAGCCTGGGGCCTCGAAGACCTTCCGGAGTCGGCGCTCAGGGATACGGATAATGACTCTTTGCTCTTGCTCAGGATGTTGCTCCTCTACCACCTCTCGTTGGCGTCTGGCCCTCGGCCCCCTGCCTTCCTCCTGGAACACCCGGAGGATCCCGCCAACCAAGGTACCTCGGAAGCTCAGCAGAATTGTTCTTCATGGTGGGCCACGGCCCAGTGTAAAGACTTCGCGGACCTTAAACGGATGAAGATACACTGCTTTGACCAGTGCATGCTGGGGCACGGGGCCAGGAAACCCACGGCGGTTCTTAGCAATCTGGCCCTTGACTGGGATGGCCTCAGGTGCAGGCATCCGGACCACCCTGTTTGGTGGTCCAGTTCTGACTTGCCCCGCTGGGGATGGCAATTCAATTTGGAATTGGCCACTTCCTTGCTAGCCTTCTTCTCCACATCCGGGGACGGATGGAGACCGTTCCATTGCTTCGGCACTGGCTCCGGTGACGGCTAGTACCTTAATTGTCCGGCTGGGACACCGTTCTCGCCCCACCATTTCGTGGGAGACTCAAGCCGGAAGACAGGTGCAAATGCAAGTTGGCCTGGCTTGGCCAGTGGATCGAGGAGACACTCACCTCGGGGACGGTTGCCACAGGTGCCGATTCTCCAGGGGTCTCTCCTATGACGCCCTTTCGGGAATCGCTCAGGACTCAGGCGCGGGGCTGCCCCTGGCCAGACCAGTGGGTCGCAGACCTCCGCCAACAACTGGCATCACGCCTCTCTTCCCGACTCCACCGACCTGTTTCAGCTGAGGTCTCTCCGGGACAACCGTTCGCTTTGGACATTCTCCAAGCTTTGGTGGAGCTGGCGGAGGACCCGGACCGGGACTTCCTCCAACACCTACGTGAAGGAGTCCCCCTTGGTGTGGACGGTCCGACGCTGCCGGACCCTAACATATGGCCGTCCAAGCAGGAGCTGGGGAATGCACCGAAAGACTTGGAGCCCCCGGCGCCCACTACGGCCGACAACTACCCAAGCGCTGAGGTCTTCGAGGACACCATAGAGAAAACTTTCCTGGAGGAAAAACTCCTCGACATGGTGGCTGGTCCCCTGTCGGAACAGGAGGCAGCGGACCTCTGCGGCTGCTCGGTCGCAGAGCTGTGTGTCGGGGCCATGGCGGGCATCCAGGAACTGGACAAGATCAGGACCATCTTCGACGCCTCGATCATCGGCGTCAACGACAACATCAGGGCGAATATTGACAAGAAGACCACGGCCCCGACTCTCTACGACTTGCTGTTCGCTTGGCTCCACTTGGCGTCGAAGGACCTGACCCTCTTCAAGTCGGATGTGAGCAAGGCCCACCGGAGGATCAAGGTTCTCAAGAAGCACTGGCGGTACATGGTGGCCAAGATCAAGAAGAAGTTCTGGGTCAACAAGGTCGGCACCTATGGGGTGGCTTCGGCGCAGCTCTACTGGGGGCGATTGGCAGCCATCCTCACCCGCCTCTCTTACCAGATTTCGGAGGTTTTCCTTTGGCTCCTGGTTTTTGTTGACGATTTCATGGCGGTGATGAAAGAGAGCCTTGGAGAAATTGGGGCGGCCACCCTCATGCTCTTCCTTACTTTGCTGGGCTGCCCTATCTCTTGGCACAAGAATGCCCTTGGGAAGGTCAACCGTTGGCTTGGGTACATGGTCAACATCTCAGAAGGCTCGGTGTGGCTCCCGGAGGAAAAGTTGGCCATCCTCCGCCCGGCCTTGTTGAAGTTGGAAGCAGGAGAACTCCATACCAGAAAGGAAGTCACCTCCCTACTGGGCAAGTTGCAGTGGGTGGCGAAAGCCTACCCTCAGGTGAGTTCCCACCTCCAGCCACTCTATGCTTGGGAGCAGAAACTTGAACGGAAATGCAGACCGGGAGACCTTGTACGTTTTCTGGCAACTCTGCTCATCTCCATCTTGGACTCTGGCCCCTGCGTTCCTCTTCGTCTCCAGCACAACACTCCATGCTACGGGAGCAGTGATGCCGGTGAGGACGATGGCCGGGTGGCTATTGGTGGTTGGTTCTCGCCCTCGCTTAACCCCACCAAGGCGGAGGTCCTGTGGTTCTCCATGGACGTCCTTACCACTCCATGGGTGCAGCCCCTCCTGGCGCACACTTCTCCGAAGCGCCGAATTGGTGCCCTGGAACTCCTGGGCACACTCATCCTTTTCCTTTTGGCTGCAGAGTCCGTGGGGCCCTGCATGATTGATGCTCACCTCCCTCTTACTACAGACAATGAGGGCAACGCCTTTTCTGCCAGCAAGAGATCTTCGAAGAAGTGGCCTTGCTCGGCGCTTTTAATGGAGCTCTCCGCACAGGAGTTCCACAAGGGTGTCTTTGCTCAGGTCACCCATGTCAAGAGGAGTTCTAACACGTGGGCAGATCAGCTCACTCACTTTGATTTCGAAGGATTCTCCCCCGGAAATAGGAGGGAAGTTTCCCTTTCATGGTCTCCAAGTTGGATGATCTTGGACAAGCTCCTTGCTTTCAAATCGGAGCAATAGCTCAGAGCTCCTTTCTGGGCCCTGCTTGCACACAGGATACGAATGCCAGGTACGGTTGCCTCAGGTGCCGATTACCTGTGCTTGGTTCCTGTACGGCTCTGCGGGACCTTCTCACTCACGGGATCCCGGGTCATTGCTTTACCTCGGATCGGATTGGGGGTTGTGAAACCCCTTGTTTGATCAATCTGAGGAGGGGTGGCGTATTTCCGACCGGTCTTCGGACCTGTCTGAGCTATGCCTGCCCCGGGTCCCTCGGAATTTTGATCTGATCTGCCACTTCTCGGACCTCGTCGGATTCGGGGAAAAAGTGCGCGTGCTTTACCTAGGCTTGTGGCTGCACTGTGACTTGGAAGCGTCGCGCAGGAGAGCCACTCTTCTTGGAACGAGCCCCTGTCATCCAGGAGGCCACTGGATTTCTACCACTGATAGGAAATAGGCCCTAGGCACCGGAGGGTAAGGCGTGAAGGATCCTGAAAGGCATGTCACACCACATTGATCAGGCAGATGAGCAAGACGGATGCGACACCCTACTCTCCCGTGGCTCCCAAGGAGTCGTGGAGAAGCTGCCTGATGAAACAAGCAGAAGCCGTAACATTTGCACTGTTCTCCTGTTGGAACTGCAAGGCTCAATGCAGTATGCAATAACACGCCGTCGAAACTCGGACATCTCCTCGATGGTGTCTCGGAGACATTAACTGAGGCGGGAACCTAGGCAATGCTGTTGCTGGGATGCGTTCATCCTGACGCCAGATTCTGGTTACTGGATGCTACTAGTAGTTTCAGTCGCTGCAGAATGCACACACAAGCGACATGGCATCGTGTCATGACGCTTGTCAGAGTGCCACAGAACCACTTTTTGTGCTGAGGTCAATCGGCCGGATCCGCCGCAGATGCGGCGGAGGTCTTTTTTGGGACTCTAGCAAAGGCACCGGGTGTGGCCTGGGGCGCTTTGCAGGTTCGCCGAGTAAAAGCGAAATATGCCAAGTAGAGTCAGAATGTGCGGGATCCTGCGAAAAGCATGCTGCCATGCTGCTGAACAGTTAGTCCCAGCCATGCCTCCGCTGAACAAGACCCCTTGCACAGTCTGGGGCTGTGGCCAAAGAGGCACAGCCGAGGGGTCCACGTGAAGTAGCATATCGTTTTTCAAGAGCAAGCAAACGAGCCGGTAGTCACTACGAACGCCGGCTTTCCTCTTAGCCTCGCAATGGCCTAGAAGCCTAGCTGTGGCCTAGCACTGTACAGACTTGCGCAAATGCGTGCCTGTAAGTGCCTTTCCAGGTTCAAGACATGGCCTGGGCTTTATCTGCTTTAGTCATACTGGGTCTAGACAGACTATGACAGACTGGACAGAACGAAGCGCAGTGAGAAAAACACCCCAGCCCGAGCGTTGAGGTGCATGGCTCGACAGTTTCATGAGAACATATCCTGCTCTGACCCACAGCCAACCAGCAGCACTTTACCATTGTCTGCCCACACAAGATGTACAACGAGTCTTTTGTCAGTCAAGGTGCTTATGTCTTTGGGTGGAGATGATCATTCCATCTGCCAGTGGTCTGTGGTCAAGCCCCGTTCCAGACCAAGCCAAGTTCCTGAAGAAGTGCGCCGAGCACGGGCCAACGCATCTCTGACCAAGGTGCTGTGGAAATCGGGGAGCCCTCTTTGCTTCCGCATCCGTCTGGAGCATAGTCCCGACACGGCACCGGGTCAGCACTACCCTGTACGCTGCGGCTGCTGTAGGTGGACCAAGCTGGAGGGTTCCGATGCGCGGGCGGCTGAGCTTGGTACCGTAGACAGGATGGACTGGATGAATATAATGGATATACTATGATATACTGATTGACTGATATATGCATTTCTATGACGATGTGCGTGAGGCCTCGGGACCGCTTCGCCTTCCTCGGGCAAGAGGCTTTGGAAGGACTCTCCAGGCGCGAAGGCGACACCTCCCAAGCCGATCTTGCGAGCCAAGCACGTCGACCCGGTTCAGCGCCGCCACGCAGGCGGAAACTCTTTGCTGCTAGGGTCACTCAGTTCGGGTTCGGGCGCAGCCCTTGTGTTCGTTTCAGGCCAGCGACGCCGCAATCGCAGACTCAAGGCTGACCTGGCGAGACCGTTAGAGTACTATTCACAGTGACATGGCGAGCGCGGAGGCTACTACCGCAACCAGCCGAGAGCCCAGACCCGTTTGAGAGTCCACACGTCCATCTGCCGGAGCTCGTATCTCGCAGGAGCCGCGGGGTGAGCGCAGCTTTGCAGTGGTCATAAGGGGCACTGCAAGGGTCGCCTCGGCGAGGTGCAGTCGGACAAAGGGCTGGCTTTGGCTTTAATTTGCTGCAAGCTGCACGCTGTAGAGTCCTGTAGAACTAGTAGAGTGCAGCGGCAGACTCTGCCGCTGGCCACCTGCTTGCAAGAGCAGCGAGCCAGAACCCTGTACAGCTGCAGCTGCTGAAGTCTTGCTAGTGGGGCACTCGCAAAGGGAACAAGGCATGCAGTAAGCTACGGACCCACAGCAACACGAACGTAAGTGACGAAGCGACGAATCCTGCAGGTCTGCCGGCAAGATGTGAGGATCTGCCTTCGCTGCTTTGGCCGATCCCGGCCTGCTTGCATTCCTTTCGTCCTGAAGCGTGTCAGCCTAAAATGTACTCGGCAGGATGGCACCGATCCTGAATGCCGGGGGCTTCTCCAGCGAGGTGGCTGATACTGGTATTAGCTGATGCGGTACAAGTTCTGGAATTTCGTGTGCCACAGGCGCTGTCGTACGCGATTGCCCTGCACAAGGTCAAGGGTGTAGAATTTCGGCGACGGCCAAGCTGCCACTCTTGTCTTGGGAGGTATATTCCCAGAAGAAAGGAGGCCGGCAATGTGAAGATGTTGTGGCAGCATGGTGCAGTGATATTGCTTTCCGAAAAGATTCAGCCCATTTGCTCACCGTTCAGGAAGGTTTGGCTTGCGGCAGTTTGCAGAGCAGGCAAGTGGGGACCTTGGTCCTCTAAGCTTTACAGTCCTGTGAGGATATCGGAAGTTCGGTCCCGGAGTGCACCGGCTTGTCTCAGGTAGCTCTTTTGTCAACGGCCTACCTTCAGGCAGCTCGGCTGATGCTCCTACAGAACGGGAATGATCAGCAACAGCTTGCTGCCCAGGTTTACGAGAGCAGTTGCAGCAGATGCTGCAGACAGGGCGCCGGCTTGGCCCCAAGAGTTTTGAAGCGAAGTGATGCGAAGTCCAACCCTGCACTGGCTAGCCGTCAGCATTTCTGAGTTCGCTGTTCGCAGAGGACCGACCGTCGCTGGGACGTGGTGGTTTGCCATGCGACGTCTCGCCCCTTGGCGGTTTATTTCTCGACCACAAGATCCGTGATTCGCTTGAGGCCAGACGTTTGGCACAGAGATGGGGCCTTTGGCTGGGGCAAGGTCCAGTGGAGAGAAGCGATTGGTGTCGAGTCCGAATGCTGAACCGCTGGCCAGGTCGAGCCTTGCCCCCCCGCCCCCGCGGCACGAAAAAGCCAGGAACTCAGCAAGAGAGCTGCATGACTGCCCCCGTTTTTTCCCTATGACTTTGCGCTGAGGCATCGGACGAGCGATGTACGAGTCGGATCGTCTTCCGGAATCCTGGGTGGCGCGTATCAATGTCATGGACCAGGATCGGTTTTGCGTAAGCTTTATGGCTATGTTGAGTTTGCTGAGCCCGACACTGCGGTTCTTTCAGAGGTGTGGGTGCCATCGCAGTTCGCCGTGGAGCAGTTCGCAAAAAGTGGTGTCCACCGTGAAAAGATAGCCGTACTACCAGAGGCTTGGCACATGTCACATCTGTGGACAAAGGTGCATGCGGCAGCTCTTTGTCACTGTCACCGCAAGTTGCTGAACTGAGAATCTGAAGGCAGTGGACGTGGAGCTTTTCAACCCCTCCATGCACGAAGCTTTGGACTTGGAACTTGGAGCCTCGGCTTCAGCATATCGTTGACGGATGAGTCTCACAACATCCACACATTGAGGCGGCCTCTTCCGCTTCGTCTCGATCTTCAAGTGGGAGAAGCGGAAAGGTTGGGACATCCTGCTGCGCGCCTACTTCCAGGAGTTCTCCGAAGCCGACGACGTGGTGCTGGTGATCAAGACGCAGCCTTTCCACAGCGGCGATGATTTCGAGAAGAAGCTTTGGGAGGAGATCTCTCGCGCCCAAGACCTGGCAGGGAAGGAGCGACCTGCGCGCTTGAAGCTTCTGGCCCGGGATCTGCAGCTGAAGGAGCTCCCGCGGCTCTATAAAGCTGCAGACGCTTTCGTCTTACCCAGCAGGGGAGAGGGCTGGGGAAGGCCCCACGTGGAGGCGACGGCCATCAACTTTGCGGAAACACGTCGCTGTAAAGCTTATAGTCCCGTAGTCCTCATGCCGAAGCACAGCCCGTGTGAGGCAATGAGCATGGGCTTGCCGGTGATCGCCACGAACTGGAGTGGGTCGACAGAGTTCCTCTGGGAGAATGTTTCCCTCCCTCTGCAGATCGATGGGCTCGAGCCCGTCGAGAATGGACTCGAGGGTCACCAGTGGGCCAAGCCCTCTGAGGTCCACCTTCGAGAGCTGATGCGCTGGGTTGCAGAGCACAGGGCGGAGGCGAAGAAGCTGGGCGAGGCCAGGGCGAGGCATCCGTAGATCCGTGCATCGTAGGTGGAGAGATCTTCAGCCTGTCCCCAGGCAGCTCGCAGGTTCATGGTGGAGCGCTTCAGCCCGAATGCCGTCGTTGAGAAGCATCTCCTGCCTTTGCTGCGACAGAGAACTTCAGGACAGATGGATATGGGTCGCCAGTCGCCTTTGATGTCCAGTTTCAGCTTCTCCTGTCAGGAGCTCGTGCCCAGCGAGATGCATCTCCCGAACTCTAGCCGTCGTTCAACGCAGCCGGGTTGTCCATTCCAAACTTCCTTGACCTTGCGCTGCACCGCCACACTTGGAAGAAGACGCCGGCCTTGAACCTGTCCTCTCGAAAGTGCTCAACACCTCGGCAACGACTCCGGTGCTTTTGACGTGCTGCCGTAGTCCACTGACTGACAACGGAAGTTGAGCGTCGGCAGATGCCTGCCATCTACCATATTTCGATCAAGCTCGGTGACCAAGGGAGGCCCCAGTCCCAGTGGGTGTACCCTCCGAATGCCACAAATCAAATCCGCAGGCCACCTAAGCAGCGGCTGATTCAGATTGAGACTTGCAGCAGCCGGGACGAGAATGTTCCCCAAAGTCCGGGGCGCTGGGCGGATAACGCCGTCGTCTGCGAAGTCCCTGTGCATGTTTGTTTGCCTTCCTTGGGCTGCGAGGAGGCGGGAGCGCGAGACGAGACATTGCTATGACAAGGTTAGCGAGATTCGAGCAGTTGACGGTAGATGGGGGGCTTCGATGTGAAAGTCTTTAGCGGAAAGGTAAACCTGGATTGATTCTGCGGCTCCAAAATCGTTACCTGTGCTGCCAGCTGGCGTGAGTTCTGAGACAGGAAGAGGTCTACAGATGCTCCGTCTCGAGCCAGGGAAAACATCCATTACCTGCTCTGCCGGCTCAAGTGCTGACAACACTCGGCATTTCCCTCTGCGAGCGAAGCCTTCGACTCAGTGGCATGTCAATTTTCACACACGGGTTTTGCCATCTCGCGGTTTGCAAGAAGACGATGCTAGCTCGAGTTGCTGAAGGCAGACCATTGCGACATCGAACCTCAGAATCCATGCTCAGGAGGGGCTGATCCCATGACTCGTTGCTGCTTCTTGCGCTTCAGCTTCGTAGGCTACTTGTGGGCTTCTTCTGCGTGTGGGGCCTCGCGGCCAAGGACTGGAGCTCTCGAACAAATTCCAAGTGAAGTCGCACTCACAAGTCGTTGTGATAGCAGTTGTGAATCCGTGCAGAGGAGGTATTTGAAGCACCTGCGGGCATGCCACAGGCGCACAGAGTCACTCAAAGGCGAAGTGCCGATGCCGGCGACTGCAGGCAGCACGTGGTGAAGAGGAGGTGGAGGCAGCCGAGATGGCTGAGGCAGATGGGTGGCACACACGGACATTGCTGTCAGTGTAAGCAGCCTGCCAGTGCCACTAAAGCTTTCAGATCTGACTGCAGGTAGAGGTGCTGAGGACAGAGTTGTCCAAGCCTCGGCGGTCGTGAATTTGGGCCCAGCATTGTCTATTAGCACGGACGAAGCATGCCTCGCTGGCAGGCTGCAAATGAAAGTCTCTAGCGCAGGGACCTTTGATGACGTTGAGGAGACAACCTTGCTCCAGGCAGACGCCAAGGCAAGGCCTGGGAGCTCTGCAGTGAAGTGGGGCACCTTGCATCGGATTCGGGGCTAGGCCTCCGTTGTGATTGATGACCTGGCCGACTTCCCAACCATGTTCGCAGATGGCTTAGGTCTTAACAGAGACGCTGGAAGCAGACGTAGTGAAGCAGAGGCACAGTGGTCAGAAGAGACACTTTGCCAGGTCCAGACTGACATGGAGGTTCAGCCTGCTTGGTCTATGTGCGATGCATGCACTGTAGTTCTGCGCAGAGTTGCAAGGTAACGCTTGTTCTTCAGTTGTCGGGCTTGCGACATGCATGTCATGCATGTCATCCGCACTGCTCGCAGTTGGCCACGAACCAAGCCTGAGCTGCCGACGGACAGCATGCAGGGGCGGGCAAGAAATTCACGTTGCGATCCAGCATGATCTAGCCAGCATGGACGGGAGGGCATGTGTGTGCATCCGACATCCTGCTAGACAAAGAAGCCGCGAGGCAGCATCATGCGGCTAGAAGCCCTTGTGCTACTGGAACGGGGGTGTGCATTTGTGTCTTGACTGACGGCCTTGCATGCAGGGCTCAGGCGCAGGGATGAGGTGTTGAAAAGCGATACGAAGTCACAGCATGTTGCGCAAATTGTGGAGTGACATTCCTTTTTGCAGACAGAGTGGCCGTCAACGAGGAGCTTGGGGCTACCGGGGGTGTCTTCGGCGTCTTCTGCCACTGTCATCCACAGATACTCGTATCCACAGTCTTGCCGCGATGTCAAGCGCGCCCCTCTGTGCCAACAGTGCCAATGCCGCCTTCAGCTCGGGAGGGCGTCCTGGCCGCTCTGCAGACTCTCAGTCCTCCCGATTTCGCCTCGGTGGAGCAGGTTCTGGAACCGGTGCCCTGGCTTTGGGCAGAAGCCTTGTCTTATTCGTATGGATATTCTGCAGCACCTTGGAGAACGAGTGCTCGCTGACTTTAGACTTCACAATGAAGTACGCGCATGCATGTTGCGATAACTGAGGAGTGCATAGGATCTTCTGGCTAGAGTTTTGACAGAAGCATGCAGGCAGCCTCTAACAGACCCAGCGGCCACAGCATCGGCACGCCCGCAGGTGCTGGAAGGATGGGCTCGACGCCCGGAGCAGGCGACCTGGATCCTGTCACGCTTGGCGGCGGGGCATCTGGCTACAAGCCTGCTGGTCATGGAGGTGATGCAGATGCAGTATGTGCAGGCGCTGGATGAAACAATTACAGTGCTTTGCTAGCTGCACTTCGAGTTGAGCCTCAAAAGTCGACTTGCAAGGTGAATACCGTGCACATGAACACGCTTCTGAGTGCCTTCGCCAGACGAGGGCGCTGGCTGGCAGCGCGAAGCTTGCTGGATGACATGTTCCTGCAGGAGGCAGGATGTTCTCCAACATCTCCTGTCAGAAAGGGATGCTGTGTTCTCTAGCTTCAGCAAGCCATAGCAAGCCATCCCTGTCGGAGCACTGGACGTCAAGGTGAAGCAAGACATCATCTCCTTCAGTTGCGTAATTACGGCCTGCGAGAAGGGAAATGCATGGGAATTTGCGATGCAGCTGCTGGAGCAAATGCAGGTCGCGAAAGTCCAGCTGCTTGTCCGACATGACATGGTGACAAGCTCGAGTGGGATACTACCACCGCTTGAAATTGCTGACTCCGAAGGCAGGACATCATCTGCATGAACTCGGCCATCAGCGCCTGTGAGAAATCCGGGTGCTGGGCCGCCGCCTTGCTCCTGCTGGCAAGCGCCAAGGAGACCACAGCCAGGCCCTCGGTCTCGCTCCGCTGTCTCGCTGTCTCGGGCAAAGGGTGTGCCAGGTGCGACAAGACACCATCACCTACAACAGCTGCATCAGTTCATGCGAGAAGGTGGGCCAGATGAGAAGAGGGGTCTGTTGCCCAAGGAGTCAGGAGGATACTACCATGAAGCGGCGTTCAGAAGTGAAGTGCAGAGGCCAGCGAATGGTTGCGAGCTTTGGAACTGCTAGCTTCGATGTCAGGCTGGGTGGGCTTGCAGTCAAGGTGTGCTGCGAGTGCTGTGCGAACGCGTTCCTCAGTCTCTGCAATCTGCAGCAGATTCGCTCTTGAAGAGAGACGAGATCTCTTTCAATGCGACCATCAGCGCTTGCGGCTCCAGCCAGCAACTTGTTCTTCGGAGACATTGGTGAGCATCGAGCCGGCTTTGAAGCTCGTGTGCTCCTGTTGGTGGTGTCGGGTGGTGCTGCTCGAACTCACTGATGCCATTCGAGGCACTGGCTTCGTGTCCTGGATCTTTTGAAAGACCCTCAGCTGTTTTTAGCCTCGTGCAGCCCCGTCTGCGTGACTGTGCTGATTGACTGAGGAGATGGCGCTGAGCACGTTGCAGTCGAGCGCAGTGACCTTCGCTGCCGCAATCTCTGGTCTTGGGCCGCGCTGGCAAATGGTCCTGGTCCCTTAGCCTTAACTAGGTAAATCATGCAATATCAAACACTGCTGCTCCCACAGTGCCGTACTTTCAGGCTCTCCTTGAAGACATGGACCGTGAAGCTATTCAGAAAGACTTGGCTCCTCGCAGCGAACGCGAAAGTGCCAGGTGAAGTTTTGCCTCCGATACAGGCACCCTTCGTGTCCTTGCTAGAGTCCGACATTTCCAAGGTCTGCTACAATGCCGCGATCAGTGCCTGCGAGCGAAGCAGCTGCTGGCAAGCGGCCATGGCCCTTTTGACGACGGACACGACCAGAGCGGATACGATTTCTTTTGGAGCTCTCATCAGTGCGTGTGCGAAAGGCAGGAGCCCGAGCATCGAGTAAGTGCAATTGAGCACTGGAAGAGTTTGTAAAAGCTGCAGATGCAGAATCAGAAACATGGTGCAGTGTCCATGTCTGTTGTGCGCGTGTCTGTGTATATATTCCCCAAACGGTGTGGTACATAAAGGGTTGAAACTTAATGTTGAGTGTAGAAAACTGCTTTATGCAGAAACAGCAGAAGCTACTCTGCTGAGTACGTTGAGTAAGAACAGCTCCCTAAACTGTACGATGCAGGGAAAAACCACTTGTGGGAGAAAAGCCCTGCATCCCGGAAACAAAGCGGTAGAGTACAGGAGGCCACGGGAGCAAGACCGGCCAGTTCGGTCCAGCACCCCGCCTCTACTATGCCGGGTTCTCCCGCGCGCAGCTTTACAGTGGCCAGCGCTACAGCGTCTGAGAACCGCGAGCGGAAGACGAAGCGGCGCTCGTCCACCCCTCCGCTCTCCCTACGCCGGGTCCTCCCGAACGCAGCGCTCCCTTATGCTCCCTTTTCGCACAGTGCTGTTGAAGCAGGGCCGCGAATCGAGAATGATGCCCTGCTCATTCACGACTCCGCTCCCTCTACACTGGGTGCTCCCAAGTGCAGCGTGGGCCGCCACCTCACTGACCCTCAGAGGCCGCCAGCCGCCTCCTCAAGGCCGCTTTGGCTCGATGGGTGCGCACAGCCACGCAGAGCTCTTGGAGCAAGAGGGAGTGCTGGAACCTGCCTTACCCCAACACTGGAAGACCGAACACCTGGCCAGCTATCACCCGTGGCGATGGGGTAGGGGAGCGTGTCGCGAACCTTCGGGTTCCATAGTCCCAGCACAGTCAAACAGGAGCTCCCTCTTTCATTCCCCGTGCGTATATATCTATATTTGTATATATATATATATATATACACACACACATAGTTTTCACTGTTTTTTTTTATCACACCTGCTGGCTGGTTGCTTGATTGATTCCTGCACCCGAGGCCTTGAGTGGCAAGTTGCTCTTAGCCTGCTGTTTGAGACCATGCCGGCAAATACCCTGGCCAAGAGTGCAGTGACCGTGGGTGCTGCTATCAGTGCCTGCGGGAACAGCTTTGAGTGGGATCGTGCACTGAAAGTCCTCAACTGGGCGCGGGATGACCGAGTGAAATTGGATGCAGTTGTGCGGCTCGCCTCTGACAGTCATGTGGGTTGCCCATATTTCCTTCGGCTAGTCTCAGTGCAGGCCCGTTTGACACTGTAAGGTACAATGCATCCATCGCTGCCTGCGAAAAGGGCTATGCTTGGGAGATAGCTCTGAACTTGCTGGGCAGGCGCCAGTGGTGTATCACAGCAGACGACGTTGCACTATGCGTTGACTCATCTGATTCTAGCTTGATCGTGGATCCTTCCTTGAGGATGCTGGTATCCCAAGTTGAGCCATCCTATGTTACTTATAATTCACTGATCAGCTGCTCGGAATGAACTGGCATGTGTGCTGTTTCGTCAGAGCCACTGTGTGCTGAAGACGCAGGTGCTTCTCAAGTGAGAATCTTAGGCGCATGTGAACAGGGCCGCCAGTGGCGGCACAGTTTGGAGCTGCTTGAAGACATGCGAACGGCTCAGCCCTCAGATCTGCGTGAGCTCTGCTACCCTGTGCCCTGCACTCCTGTACTGTATGCGTCGCTTGGAGTTTTGCCGAGGCTGCGCTGCCGTGCGGCAGGGAGGCCTTCGGCGGCGCCCTTCTGGCGTGCACGCGTGGCCAGGTCCAGTGCTTCTGCCGAACGGTCTCCACAAAGCGATTGCACACTCATTTCTGGGGCTTGGAGATGGCTGGAGGCTTGGCAGACGGCGCTCCTTCTTTGCAGTGCCATGTCATCGTGCTTCGTGCAGAAGGACTGATCTCAGCAGCCTCCGTTCGTATGTTTGGGCTTTGCACGAACGAGGATGCTGACATGTGCTCGTCAGCAGTGGCCGCATGCGAAGCTGGCAGTCGCTTCCACACGGTCGCAGCCCGATGCTTTCCCGTGCGCTTCTGAATGTTCGCACTGCTTGAGAGTGCTTCGGGATCCCAAGGCTGCAGAGCTGCTGTCCGACATTACATTTCTCACCCAAGCGGAGCTGCAGTGGTAGGAAAGAAGGGGTCAACACCGGAGCAAGGAGACAGGAAGGATGCCGATGTCACGTTGTGGGGTCGTGTAGTTGAGTGTGGCCAGATGATTGGCTCAGGCGACGCGAAGCGCATAAAGTGAGCCCTTTTTTCGGAGTGTGGGAGTCTTCGGACGGGCGCAAGCCGCAAGTAGATGTGCCCGGGAGCCCAAAGAATCCCTGGGAGGATGCGATCAATGCGGCTGCTTCATGGCCTCCCCTCCACAGTGGAGCAGGGAGTTCTCCAAGCAGCGAGTCGCACAACTCACCAAACTCGGCAAAGCCACAAACTGGGCCAAAGCTCTCAGTCTCGTGGCTGACCACGCCCAGAAGGGCCCAGACCTCGATGTCTTTGCCGTTGGAGCGAGCATTCGTGCGTGCGAGCCTTCTGCACAATGGGACGTCGCTCTGTCTCTGCTGTCACTGGGCCGTGCAAGTCGAGTCGTTCTGAATGACGTCGCGTACAACATTGCCATTAGCGTGTGTGACAAGGCCAAGAGGTGGGATCAAGCCATTCTACTTATCCTGGACATGGAGGCTAATCATGTGCAAACGGATGTGATCACTTGGAGTGCTTTGGTCAGTGCTTTTGCCAAGGGCCAGCAGTGGGAACAGGCCCTGGAAGTCCTGCAATCACTGCCATTGCGGCAAGTGACACCAAATGGGATGACATACAGTGCTGCAATCAGTGCATGCACGGCCGCGACGCCGTGGCCTTGGGCCCTTGAGATTGCAGAGGTCATGCAGCAGCAGAGGCTGGAAGCTGATTCTGTTGTGCAAACAGCCATGATCACCGCCTGCGGCTTCGGTGCGAAGTGGGAAGAATGCATCGCTATTGTGGCTGCTATGCAAGGTGAGTCACTTCGGCAAATAACTTGCAATGCGTTCATGACCTCTTTGCAGAGGGCCGGACAATGGACTCGGGTCCTCGATGTGCTTCGTGAGGTGCAGCAGAAGGCTGGCATTTGGAAGAACTGCACCCTTGACTCCTTCTCTTGCTCGGCTGCCATAGCAGCATGCGGCACCGGCGGCCACTGGCAGGAGGCTGTGGGCCTCTTTGTGCGGACTCCAGTGCAGTCAGTGGTTCTACTGAACGTGGCCATAGTGGCTTGCGGTGAGAACTCCCAGTGGCAATGGGTTCTGCAGTTGTTGAGCTACAGCCTTTTCAATCGCTTGATGCCAGACACCATATCGTGCAACTCCGCCATCACAGCATGCCAGATGTGCGGACGCTGGCAGGAGGCAGAGACGATCCTAGAGGAGATGTCAAGACAGGCAAGTTTCGAACGGCATTCCCCACTCATGTCCTCCCCCAAAAGCAGTCTAACATCACGTTGAGCGTGGTTTCGGCACTAGTTTGGGGCCTCCAGGATCTCCGTAGCTAAAGATGAACGCAAGTCTGGCAGAAACCACGAGACCCTTGCGTAACTCTGCGAACCGGGTTGAACAGGAAGGAAGCTTCTTAAGTCTTGGGCATTCTTTGGAGCGATCCCCAGGTGAGCGCTGCGCCGGACCGGATCACGCTGAACGCCTTTGTCACTGCTTGTGGGGTCGCTCAACGATGGCAGCGGGGCATTTCAGCCTTGGTCGGTGAACTTTCGGCTTTCAGCGGTATAGAGCCTGACACAGTAAGCTGCAACGCCGCTCTGGCTGGATGCCAAGCACAGTGGAGACAGTGCGGGGCTATTCTGGAGTTTGCAGCTGCAGCAGGCATCATCATCGATGAGGTGGGGTGCTCTGCTGCCATTACCGCTTTCGATCGTGGCCATTCCTGGGAGCGTGCAAGCCTAGCTCTGTGCGCGATGCGTTCACTTGGCCAGAACATAGTGGCTACGAACTCTGTGCTCGCTGCGTACGAGAAGGTCGGTCGATGGGACTCTGCACTTGCCCTGCTTTACCGACTCAATATGCATCAGTTGGAAGCAGATCGAGTTAGCTTCAACAGCTGCACTAGCTGCTGTGAGAAAAGCCTGTTCTGGTGGCAAGCTATTGATGTCTTCCAAAACAAGATGCAGTACGACTTGATCAGCTTCAACGTGCTTCTGCGCTCGTGCATGCATGCGGCCGATTGGGAGGCGGCTGTAGCTTTGCTGGCAAGGATGGAGGAGGAAGCGCTGCAGCCGACAGAGATGAGTCTGGCTCCTGCGATCGAGGCGCTGGCAACTTGGAGTTAGCAGCAAATGTGTGACATGTTCCGACGTTTGCAATACTTCCATGTCTGCAAGCATCAGCCTTCAAATTTCTGTATGTTGCGATGCTCACCGAGGTAGAAAACCAACGAGTTACCTCGACTTGTGCCACTTAGCAGCAATCCGTAGACCTTGAATGGATTCGTTGCAAAGGAGCATGTTCTGCACTTGAGGACCTCCTCTATCAGCTGCAGGACCAAGCACTTCTATCAACCCTGGGCGGATACTCAAAAAGCAAAAAAGCAGGCACTTCCGGTCTAGGCAGCGGGATTGTCTCAAATGCAAAGCAGCTATCGACTCCGGAGCTCGGCGACTTCGCGGTGCCACACTGGGGCTACGTGCAAATCCATGAGGCGGAAAGGTCAGTTAAGGGCCTTGCAGCCACTAGCTTTCTCACGTGGAGTCAGTGCTGTGGTATTGGAGTTGAGATCCTTGTCGTGTAGTTGCCGATGCATGCATTCCGTTGCAAGTACAGTACAGAACGAGCCATGCAAGGACCAAGATGCAGCGCGTCATGAGCAGTGTGTCTCCACCACCCTGACAGCAGTCAGTCGTACCAAGACACGGCACACCAGTAGACTCGCCGTCTCACGCTTGCACAATCTTGCAGATGAGCATATCATGATTGACTTTTGTACGATCGGCTGAATTCCTCCTTCAGACCTTTCATCCTTCGTACTGGCACGCGTTTTTAGACTGCTCATCCCAGTCCGTGTCCCTTGCGCGGGTCATGGATGCTGGCAGGCAGGGTCTGTGAGTACTGATGCTTTCGGGCGCATGTCTTCGGTGTGATCGGACACTCAATCGGCAGCTCATGGATGATCCGTGGAACCCGTGAAGTCCAGCAGTAGCCCAGCCGTCAGACTCAATTGCGATCAGGGCAGCGGAAGCAGCCAACTTGAGACGACGTACGGCGGGGCTCTCTGGCATCAAAGTTCGCGGATATTTCAGAGATGGGACGTTTGACGAGGCAACCCCGCCGCCGCCTCGGCCGCATGAGCGCAGCGACCTCGGAACTCTCAGCTTCGCATAGCCGACCAACAACGCCTGGCATTTTCGCGAATCTCCAGAGTTGGCAGGCCGAGCTGGCGTGACGCCATCTTTGGAGGCACTGCCTTCGCAACGTATCAGATGACAGGGTCACCATCGGGTTCCAGTTCGGTTTCAGTTTGCTTGGCAGGAAGTCTCCAGTGTCAGCGGGGAGGAGGATGTGGCGCAGGGGCCTCGGTGAAAGCATGTCAATGCCCAGGCTGTGAAGCTGTGCCTTCGTACGCAGCGGCTTCGAAATCATAGGTGGGCTGGAGATGCTGCGCAAGCACGTTGCAAGACCTCCAAAACCGCCGCCGCCAAGGCAGTGCAAGCAGTTGGAACATAATAGAGTGAAGTGAGGCCTACAATGCCTGCTCACCGATTCCTTGATCCTTTGTTCGCAGGAGGCAGAAGCCTCGAAGCAGTGGCCCAGTATCCATCAGCGCAGCATCATCGCAGTAGTTTGGCGCCCAGATCCTCGAAACACTCTCAGTTGTCGTTGTCCTTTCACTGACGTTGCAGGCGCTGTCGTCATGCGCTTTGCTGCTAGCAGTTGGCCCAGCGGCATACTGCTGGCTGAATCAGGTGGGAGACCGCACTCGAATTGCAGCTCACGAGACCGGATGATTACAAACCCAGCGTTTCCGATCTTCATCATCAGATTCCGATTGAAAAGTTTGTGCTCAGAGAGGTTCTTGCAGGGTGTAGCAGCCTGTAGCGACAGTGTAAAGGCAACGCAACTTTCTGGCAGGGCCGGGCAGAGCTCGCCGACTCGTATCGAGGAACTGCCCACCCACTCGGTGAGACGGATTCCTGCCACACTGGGCAGGAGGCAGTTGCTGCTGTGAGACAGCAGGGGTGAAGGCAGATTCCTTTTGGCGAGGCTGCTCCCATCAGCCATCACCATCGACCGGCATTGTACCTGGGACGTGACTACGTCAATGAGGCAAGGTCAATGCATTGCCATTGCATGCCATCATTTCTGACTTGGCAGGTAGCATCTGGAGGCATCAATGGCCTGCTGATGATGGCCAGTGCCTTCTTCGAGACACCTCCTTTCACTGGAACTGATCCGTCCTGATGGCCAGCTCGAGGTTGCAACAGTGGTTGCCGGAATCGGAATAGACATGCCTGGTCAGCAAATCCTAGCTCTTGGTGCTGACGGGGTCTCAGCGCCTTCTCAAAGACATTCGGCACGAAATCTGCTTTTTGCCCCTTTTGCAACCGGGCAGCTGCCTCGAATTGGCAGGCGAGCCTCGTGTCTTACGCATTCTCCATGGGCTTCGGCGCTTTCGTGGTGGCATTGCCCAGAGTTTGCGTTTGCTGGTGGCGCGAGTGCGTTCGCTTGTCCGAGAGTGGTCCTTAGCCTCAACGGCTCAAGCCAACACGTTCTCCAGCACCAAAGCTATGTGCGACGTTTTGCGGCCGATGCGATTTCACATACTTTACTGGGAGCCGGAGCTGGGTAGCGCAGCTGAGCCGAATCCTGGACCTGGAGCCTCACCTGTAAGAACGGGGCCGAGGATTTGCAGTTCCTGCGGAGGCGTCGCCGGAGCGTGGCGCTGGCGCCTCGACAACTTCCAGACTTGTGTCCGTATGTGTGGCAAAGAAGGGTGTGGATTTAGACGAGAAATAGCCAACATTACCTGCATGGGCCCTGGGCTTCGCATCCGCTACGAGCCGGAGACATTCTACGAGTACTTGACAGAAGTGCGATCCCGGGCCTTGACGGAAGAGACCGTGATCGGAACCGCACTCGAAGTCCGGTCGGGCTCGCTCGACCCGCAGCGTGCCGGAGTCGAGGTGGAAGAACTCGAAGCCGACGCTTGGCAGGGCTCCCTGGCAAAGTCGGCTGCGGAGATTCGCGACTCGACGGCAGCTAGGATCTAGGATGGCTTTGGTTTCTTTTCCTCCCAAGAGCCAAAAGCGCCTCCGCCTCCTGCTTTCCAAGGAGACCTGGCCGAGCAGGATGCTGGCTGGTCAGCTTCTTGGACTTGCAACAATTGATGCCGTCGGCAGGTTTCAGTCCCAGTCCGGTCTTCATCCATGTTCTTTCCCGCAGCTCCGAAATTCTGTGGTCCAGAACCCGAGGTATCGATCGTTCTGGATGCGGGTGGCCAGGAGCTGAGCAGCTTGACTTTGCCTACGTCGGCCGGCCTTTGCGGCGACCCTCCGCGACGCTCGGACTTGAGTTATGCGTCCTTGAAATCGAAGCCAGAAGCATTGCAGCATTCTGCGAGATTCTGCCTGCTTGAGGAGCCTTGACGGATGCCGGGGGCTTACACAAGCCAGCTGCGATCCGAGACGACCCGTCCCCCTTGATTTGTTCTAAGGTTCTAGTTCTTCTCGGTGGGCCCAGCGGGTTTGGCAAGCACTTGGAAGAGGTGAAGAAGGTGCTGCGCTGTCCAGCCCGTGGCCTCCACCACGGCCCTGTCGCTCTCAGGATCGCAGGTGGCAGGCATCACTCCTATGTTGCCTTGTGCGATCTCCTGTTGTGGCACGACCGCCAACAGCTACTTCCAAATCTCTATAACTTGATTCGACTGGGGCCGAAGGCATATGCTGAGTTCTCCGAGGCTTTGCTGAAGCAGTTCGCAGGGCTTTGCAGGCAAGTTGCTCCCTGGGACAGCTCCAGGATCCGCTTGAAGAAGGAATCAGACAAATCCTTGGGGACAACCGTCAGACCAGCGGCCGCTGCCGCTCCGGCAGTAACAGACGAGGAGATAGCTGATCGTGTCGAGGGGGAGATATGGAGACACGGTGGAATGTTGGAGTGCAACTTGCTTTATGTCTACAACCGACAGCTTCGACGGCTCATCGGCGATCAGAAGCTCTTCTGCTTCCTGCGACAATTCCCAAACAAGTTCATTCTGTCTTCTGAGCACGGGCGGGACTTTGTTCACACTGTGAGGATGTCAGCCATGCCGGATGCCCTGCTAGGGCAAACGCTGCGCAGCGCCAGCCAGGAGGGCCGCAGAGCCATTCATGACTTGGAAGCTGCGGTCGTGAAACAGCTGGAGTCATGGGTTCCCAAGACGGAAGACCACGATGGCCCCTTCCTCCCAAGACTGGCTCGCGACAGCCGCGTGCGACGCAAGCTCCAGCAATTCGTAGGACACTGCCCCGTCGCCGCCCTCGCCGCATTGAAGCAAAGAAGCTCTCAGCGGGAATCTTCGGCCTCGAGGTCTGAGGAGCCTGAAATTGTCGGCGGCCTTCAGCAGGATGAGCTTCAGGGGAGCCTACGCAGATATGGATCAGTGAAAGCGCGAAGTTCTGGAATGACCTCTTCAGAGGCTGCCTGGGTAATTGAGCTCCTGCATCTGCGACTCTTCCTTCTCGACCGGCCGGAGCTCTTCCATTTGATGGATTCGAGGAAGGAGTGCGCGAAGAATCTGCCCAACTGCTGCTGTCACTTGAAGGTCAAGCTCAAGGAGGTGGCCGTGGCCGTCGCGGCCGTGGAACGGCTTCAAGAAGGAGCTGTGAAGGTCAATTCTGAAGCCAGGAAGCCCGGCGAGGCCAGAAGCCTGGATGTTTCAAGCATCCCCACCCTCTTCTCAAACAATGAAGTTCTCATCGTCGATATGCCATGCAACGTCACGACGACAGCCATTCTCAAGTCGTATCAGAAGCTGGCAGATGAAGAGGGTCGCTCACGGCAGGTGCAAGCATGCGTCTCAACCGAACAAGTAGTTAGGTCCGGTCTTGCTTAAGTTCCTTCGCCATCCTAATGTTAGACGACTGGCATAAATACAGTGTTTTCGCGAAGGTGTTTTGTTTTTCAATTTCCGATGATCAGCAGAGGCTCCAGCCTTCCTTCTGCGGCTTCAGGATGCTTGCTCCTGACGTGGCACAGCTCCACGATACAGCTGCTCCAGAAGCAGGCCTCTGAAGTCTGCTGCGGGATGTATTGATTCTATAGCTTGTGACTTCTGGAAGCCACAGCCCTCACGCCGACCTGACAAGGAAGTCTACGAGGCTTTGGTTTATGGCAGCCTTCCTGCAGATGGAGAGATCAATGCAAGGCCCCCGCTTCGCAGAATCTCTTGCCACGGCATGCCACGGCCTAGAAAAGCCTCCTGGCAGGTTGCACGTTGTGCGCAGGAGGGCCAAGACGCAGACGTACGTCTCTCCCAAGGGCGCTCCGGCAACCACGCGCTTCCGGCTCCTTTCAACTTACCGGACTCCCGGCCCAGCAGTTACCCGGGGGGGGGGGGCGATTCCACGATTTCATGGAACCAGCCCGAGGAGAGATCTGAGCGGGAAGAGCGATGGGTCTCTTGAAGAGGTGCTCTCCCTGGTTGTTCCCCGGCATAGAAAACAGCTCAAATCCTGGCCCAATACTCTGTAGCCGTTAATCTGCACTGCGTGAAGCAACCAGCTGGCTTGCGAGATTTAAGTGCTGCAAGGAATGCTGGCCGCTCACAGCTTTGGAGAATCAGATTTGCACGCATTTCGCACATATCGGCCATAGCATTGTTGGGGACAAGCTGCAACTCAAGCGGGACAATGCCGTGGCCGACGGGCTGCAGAATCGTGTCTCGACATTCTGTTTAAATCACGCAGCCCACACTCGTGCGGCTGACGGTGGGAATTCTTGTTTGTCCGAGGTCTCTATCTCCACTGCAGACAGGTTTTCGGAAACGGGCCCTTCGGTGCTTTTGCTGCTGAAAGCTGCAGACCTCCTGAGTTCGTCCGACTGCTGCATGTGTTGGAGACGGGAGAAAACGTGGCGAAGCCGGAGCCACCTGGACCGCAGTCTTCAAACGCCACAGCCAACATGCCAAGGTGGAGGAGGCCAAAGAAGGCTTTGCCACAAGCCAACTGCAGGAAGAGCCCCGCTCTCAGAGCCAGGCCAAAGCTCCAGAGCTGACGTGATCCGACCCTAACAGGTATGAGGAGGTACGCAGCATGCCGCAGTCGGAAGTGGACGAGATGATCTGCCACTACAGGTGCGCAACGGCTAGCCAGCAGTCATGATGAACAAGCTTGCCTCTGGGGGCCCTCTCCCAACATCGCACAAGTTGGAGAATATGCCCCAGTGCTAACGTGGACTCATGTGGTAGGGCATCGCTTCATCTGTGCATTGGTTGCTGGGCCAGGAAGCGTGGGCTGTCTGACCAGGCCTGCTGCAAAGAACTGCTGAGACAACCAGCACGCAAGGTCGAGTAGGAATCCGACTCCAAGGCACTGGAAGTCATGCCTTGTATGGGACATGTGCGATGTTTCGTTGCACTGTCGGCCAGTTTCTAGTCCATGGATCTCTCATTATGTCATACAGGTTTTTCCATCGAGGTCCATGGAGATGTTCCCTTGTCAATTTTGGCCATCTCGGGTAGGGGTCGTATGTGCATGACCACCCGTGCGGCCATGTTGAAGCAATTCGGGCTGGGTGATGCTAGGCGTGTAAGTAGTTCTCACAGAAATACAAGACATGAGCCTTTTTCAATGCAAATCTATTGTACTGCGGAATGTTGCGGAGGACGCAAACGCCGTGGCGAAGATCCTGTCGCAGTACGAGGACATTGAATCAAACATGAGGCATGCACCATACACCGTGGCTGTGCTGAAGCTTCACGTGTTACAGGGAGGCTGTTAAGGGTTGAAGCCACAGCCGTGGAACATGCGGTTACCGCTGGGCAACGCACCTTATTTTGTGAGGACTTTTGGGTTCATCACATGATGGCCGAAGAGCTGGGTGAGAACCCCAGAGCCGAATGACGGTGCTCGTGTTGACATCCACGGAAGCGACAAGGCATCCAACTTCCCAGAGGAGACGCCTATGCGATGCAGTCCGGTCTTGCCACGCGCTCAGAGCAAAGCGTGGAGAATCGCTCCTTCCGAGGTTTCAGCACCCACTTACAGGCATCGGCTAGTCCCACCCACTTCTTCTCAGACAGTTTTCGTAGGGGCAGGATACAGCAAACTGACCATGCTAACGTGGCATGACTTCGCGGCAAACGGTACATCGATCTAGAGGGGCTTCCATGCTGTACCTGTTGACAACTAGTTGTGAAAAGCCATTCTTGCAGCATTAGGTAGCTCGTCTCCCCATGCTTGCGACCTTGGTTGAGATACCTTGCTTTGTCGGGGAGGTCTTGTGACATCGTTCATGGCGGATCTATTCATGGAGATTAACGGAGCATCGCAACATGGACCCAGCCGATAGAACCCTCATGAGGCTCGTTTGGAGCCCTCATACTGTAACACCCCCATACAAACCTTACAAATCGCTACTCTTGTTGTATGAGACTTGTGGGTTGCGCGTTTGCATCGCAGGCCACTGGGATGTCCTTCTTGTTCTTCGGCATGGTGCCTCTTCTTGGCCAGGACCTGAGAAAATCCCCTGTGGCAGCCGCCACGCATTGCCTTGTGCCTGCCTGCGAATTGTGCATGATCGGTGTGGTGTCATATCGTCATCATCATCACTGTCAGAGATCGTCTTCGTGTTGCCTTTTTGCATCTGTCTTTGGCCTTTGTCGTCGTCATCGCTCGTACGTTCGCCTTCAAGCAGGATCACTGTCGCTGTTGATACCTCGGTTGCTGGGTGCATTGCCGACCTGCTCAGGCCTTGCAGTTTCCACTCTTCTGCGGAGATGTGTTGGGCCAGAGCGGCCGCCCCAGACCAGGAGGTATGGTACCGGAATGCTCTCAGACTCTACACACCATTTTGTAGATTGTGTTGCAATGTATACACACATATATACGTATGGGCTCACGTCGTCTGATACACTATTGACCAATACTGTGAGATGAGCTGTGATGCTCGTTTAGTTCTGGCGGTACAAATGGGCGTAGACTCTACGACAAGAGTGCGTGCAAGAGTTCCTTGTGCTTGGCTGAGGTGGTACAGACCGCAGTTCTCCACCGCAATGTCGCTAGCCTTGAGTGTTGTGGCCCCGGCTGCTGGTCTAGGGCGATTAGGGGCGATCAGGTCTTTCCTGCCGTGCCATCTTTCCGAGACGGCTGTGTCTGTCGCATCGGGCTCAAGAGAAGGTCTCCTTCTCCTTTCAGGTCTTCCACTGCAGATTGCGAGTGTCGGCTGACATTGTCCACCATGCGCAAGATCCTGCATTGGAATCAGACAAGCGAGCCCCGCAGCAAGTTCGCGAGAAATCGTGCTTCAAGCTTTGTACGTCTTGCAATCTGCATGTGTAGTGATGTTCGCCTTTCGTGTTACACTCGGCCTGAGCCTGGTGCTTTGCGGAGGCTCCCTGACCTGTTTTTGTGCAGGTTCTTGGAGCACTGCTCTCTTGCCACAGGCGCCGTTGAAGTTGGCCACGTCACCGTCCAGGCATCCGGAGAGACCCGGACCCAGGCCGGCTTTGGAAAACTTTGCAGAGTCCGAGCCTGTGGGGCCCTGTAGGAAGCACAGGCAGGAAGGCAGGATCGAAACTTTTGCAGTGTGACACATGTACGTGTCGATTGACTCTCCAGGCAAGCACGGTGATGCGAAGACAGGCCTCGGAGTGTCCGTCTACTGCGAGTGAAAGTGCATCTCCGGTCTCCGGTGGTGTGTCGGCTCATCTTGCGAGGCTCCGCTGCTCTCAGAGCTGCCCAGCGCACCCGTCGACTGCCGCATGCGTAACTTCAGCCGGGTCGATCACGTGTGCCCATCAGAGATGACAGGCGGAGCCTCTCTCTGCCACTCTCTAGGCAGCAAGGTACTTGAGTGTCCCGACTTGGATCTAGGTGAGGAGTTCTGCAAGACGCGGATGTTCTTGGACGTGCATGGCAACTTAAGGCAGCAGAGCCTCACGAGCTTGTTCACTCGCCTCCGCAGTCTGGATGCTAGTTCAGGCCTTGCAGCTGGTTCATCATCGCCCCCAAGAATCCTCCAAACTGCGATTGGGACGGCAAGCTAGCTTGCGACGAAGAGTCCACCGAAGCCATCAAAGCAACGAGGCCCCATGAGACTTCTGGAGGGAGAGGGACCGAGGAGTCTTGCAAGTGGCTCTGGCAGGCGCGCCGAGATGGCTGCAAAAGGTGCGAAGTCGGACGTGTGACTGAAACGAACTGCGCTGGGCAAAACGAGTTGTGAATCAGCGGATAGCCAGCAACAACGAGCCCGCTCACGTGTGTCGACGCTCCGTCATAGCGATCATGGCGCCTTCCCGAGGCCACAGCACTGTTGACGCTCGGCGCCTTCGTCAGCCGAGTGGTGGGAAGCCAGCTGCCAAGCTGTGGCAGGGCTTCGGCATCACGGCAACCTAACTGCTGCGAGGCCGCACGCCCATCATTAGTGGCCTGATGATCATGGCCAATGGCGCAGTCCCCAGTCCGTTATTCATTATTGGCGAGCCTCAGCAGTCGGCAGATAAAGCAGCTGCTTGGCGCAAATCCGGAGAGCACACGAGGCTTTGCAGCGTCAATCATGGCTTTCGCTGTGAGCGCGGCACCCTGCTCCCCAGAGTGACTGCAACTGATCGGTCAGCTCCAGCAAAAGACTAGTGACTAGTCGGGCCCAGGTCAGATGCTCGTTTCTGCCGGCGGTAAGGCCATGATAGCAGCGTCCAGTCGTGGCAACTCTAGCACCTGATGCAACAGGGGGCCTCGCCCTCCCAAGAGAGACCTCGCCAGTTGGACCCTTCTGCCGCAGCCTTAGTTCCCTACTGGTATGGTAAATCGCCCGGCGGGCTGCTTGAACATGTTGTTGAGCTGTGTATTACTGGTACATTCTTACATGTTGCTTGCGGAGGCAACATCCTCTCCGGCGGAAGCAGGAAGGCGCCGAAGAGCTTTGTGAATGGGGGCTTCGTAGGCATGTTATGCCGTTGCGCATCTCGAGGTACTGCCTGGACCGAAGTGGCAGTGCAGGTGGTCCCGGGGTGGCGAGCAGATGCGAGCAGTTTCGTACGAGTATATTCTGTGAGATGGACAGGGTCCACACCGGGCCAGGGTCCGACGGAGTCGCAGGCCTGCAGTGCTGGTAGCACCCGCTTGCAGTGCATGTAGTAGAGGATATACCGGTCAAGGGCACAGCGTGGGAGATGTACTTCCATCAATGGCCATGTCGCTTGGAGGCCTGGCCAACTTTCAGACATCAGTTTGTACACTGCAGTTCCATGCTGTGGGCCGGGCTCTCAGTCTTCTGGGCCCAGCGCCCATTTCGAAGTGTAGATGCCTCAGGGGGCTTCTGAATTCTGCTTCTCTTTTGCGAGTTGCTCAGGTTTCGGTGTGCTCGGCCATCGTGGCCTGGCAAGCGACGACGAGAGCAGCAAGTGCTTACGAGCGCCTGGGCCCTGGAAAGGCTCTGAGCAGCGAGGCACGGCAAAGTGACTTAGAGATGTCTGGTTCATACTTGGCTGCCTGGAGAGAAATGGAAGAGATGCCTACTCATGGCCAAGGTATGCACTGGGAGGTCATGCGTGTCTTCGCATACGGCCTGACCTGTTCTCAGCTCTGTGATGCCGATATGTCTGTGGGTGCACGTGACAGAAGATGGTGAATGGCCAACCGTAAAGCGCTCTGCAAGAAGTCGAGAACAGTGACCAGAGTGTCAGGGACTGTTCAAGCTTTCTTGTTTCGGCTCTCTTGTCCAGATTAGCACAGCTGCTCTAGGCTCAGACGTGTTGCAATCTCATCTCCTGCCAAGTGCCAGCAGACCATGTAGAGCTCCAAAAGACGACATCAGCACTAAGGGTGACTCGATGCACGTACACACAATCACGCCAATCATGGCGACTGCCGGATACGGCGATCAGCCAGCCTTGGCAAAGGTGTGCACAGCTGGTACGGAGCTGGGCAGCTAGGCCGCGATTGCGAACTCGGAGAGCAAAGTTGCAAAAGAGGTTGGGCTGCTGCACGAAGATGTTGCTTTCAAACAAGACAGTTTGCTATGAATGTCAGGCTGTCGAGCCAATCCCGATGATGTGGACGAGGCAGAGACGGAGACCTACGCCAGGACAGCAGCTTGAGTCACGGATTGCGGCCAGTTGAGGCTTGCTTGCCAGATTTCTTCGTGCTCTGGGTTTGCCGAGAGGAGCTTGCAAAGGCGCGGATCCAGCAGCACCTCTGGGAGTTGGGACGCAGCTCGGTGAGCAAAGCCGTGCAGCTCCCGAAGCCTTACAAAGGCCACCAAAGCGGCCTGTGAATGCAACTAGAGCGAAGACTTGCGAAGATGGTCGCAGATAGCAGATACTTGCTTCGGGAAAAAGCGAGGATTCCCCCACTGGGACCGCCCACAGCGACGCCTTCGAGACGGGGCCGTGCACTTTCGGCCAGCCCGACCCATCTCCTGGAGGCAGATCTGGAAGAACATGAGAGCATTGAGCTCAGATTCTGAGAGCAAAGTTCGATGTCCCTCCCGCGGGATTCAGGAGGAGACAAAGATGCGGAGATTGATGTGTACTCCTTATCTGGAGCTCACATCGGGCATGTCACCATGGATTCTAGAGACTCCTTGGGGGAAGCCTGTCTGCAACAAGTACAGTCTGTCTGTTGTGAACCGGCAGACAGCAGAGTCCGAGCTGAACAGCAGTTGGCAGCAAGAACGTCTCAGAGATGGACATTCAGCACACGAACCAATAAGAAGTCGAGGCTCACCTGATGCTGAGATATGCTGAGCTTCGATGACAATGTTCACTTGGTTCCAGTAGTTCTTGCCCAGGCTTTGAAGGAGAGGATTCGCGAGATGACAGGCAAATCCGTTGAGCTGGCGCTTGGGTGGCTCGCTCAGACTCTGAGAGCATGTGACTGGTATGGCATCGTCTGTTCGCAAGCTTGGGAATTTAATGATTGTCTGACTGTCTAAATGCTTCGCGCCAAGGCTGTCGATCCTGAAGGAGTTTCATGCTAAGTTGTTGCGACTGGCAGATTCAAGATGCAAACTCTGCAGCATTGCATCTGCGATGCATGACTCGCACGCATTTGGCATCTGATGTTGCCTCTCAACCTAGCAATCTCTTTGCTCGTCAATTCCCATTTCTCGTTTTCCTGGCTCTGAGTCTCGCTGTCTTGCAGGACAATGAGGACATGACCATAGCGAGCAGTGGGATTCTGGAGACACTGCACGTTCAGGCCATCAATGTTTCTTTGCACAGAGCCTCATCCGCAGCCAGGTCGTGCGGCTTTGTGTCAGACGTGCCCTGCGTTCGAGCATCTTCGAGCTGAGGATTCGTCTACTCCGCTGATGGCCGCTGCGCCGGGATCTACCTCATGGACGATGGGACTGCCGAGATGTTTACGTTACATGACTCCGATAAGCCATAGCAAGGGCTTTGAAAAGCGAGTTGAGTTTCACACTTTTACGCGACCTTAAACACCGGGGGCATGCCGACACTGCTTACTTCACCACTTGAAATTAGCCTCTGCGAAGTGCTGGCATGGCTTTGACATGCCGGGAGTGTGACGACTTGATGGTCAGGCGAATCTCAGTTCATGTCAGTTCGAATGTTGCACCCGTGCATTGGCTTCACTGAAGTGCCAAGCTCGAAAGGTCGTGTTCAAGCCAGGAAACGCACTGTGACCCGAACTTCCAATCCTGAACCCACGTCCTGTGCTCTTCTAGACTCAGGTTGAGCAGGCGAATGCTGAATGCTCGGGAAGACGAAGAGCAGACGCAGACAATGCACTGGGGTACGTGGTCACCAGGATAGTGCAGCCGGTTCTGATTGCCCGAAATCGGCACAATGCAAATCCACAAATGTCAGGACCCTCCGAGTCAGTCTGCATTGAGGTGGATCAGATGGAGAGAAAGGCACCATGAAAATGACCACGATGCAGCAAAGGGACATTGTGTGAAGAATGCGTTTCCAAACTTGCGAGTCGCTACTGTAACGACTGGCAGGTCTACAGCGATGCCATGGCATGTGGCTGGACCCAGCAGTCTGGCAGGATACATGCAGACTTCAAGATGCGGTGTCGGCCTCAACGACTGTGCTCGCATGCGAAGCATTGGCACATTCTTTAGATGGGGGGGCAATCATCTAGCTCTCCTTAAAAGACTCTTTCCTTTGCCGGACGGCCCCAATCACTTGCCTTCACGTGAGGTTTCGATGGACAGGCCAGTCATTGCAGCTCCTCGCTCGCATTGGTCACCAGCGGCGAGCCAATCCTTCTGTCTATGCCGCGACGAAAGACTCAAACAGGAGATTGGATCAGATCTCTGAACCAGGCTTCCTGGCTGCTTTTTGACAGATATGTCTCAAGTCCAATGTCTTAAGGGTGTTCAATTCTGTCACCACCCTAAAATCTAGCATCCGTTCGTGCCATGGAGGTTTCAGACATCTTGCACACAGCTAACGCGAGAGAGAATTGACTCCCTTTTTTGAAGTAGCCAAGCCAGTCACCTAGCATCAGCCTTAACGGTAGTAGTCAGTGTCTCCTTGTGCCCAGTTGCGGCCTTCGTGTTTCCCAGCGTGCTCTACAATCTCAGTGGGAGCGAAGCGCATGTTGCCTTGACTCGCAGATCAGCGGAGGGGGATCGCTCGTCTTGGCTCCCATCAGATCGGATAGCTAAGGTTTTCGACGACTGGCACAGGGAAGGTGCCTCCACTGAGCCATGAAATCTTCTTCGAGAAGCTAGCTGCTCTTAGGCGCTGGCACCGTATCCTCGATGTCTCACTTGTTCGAAGCAACTCTCTCTTTTAATTCTTCGGTAGCTGTACAAGCGAAGCTTAGGACGCTTGTGGAGAGTGCACGATTATGTAGCACAACTACCTTTTGACACGACAATCATGCATTCTCATGTCACCATCCGGCTACTCAAACAGTACAGTGTTTGACTAGCTCCGAGCGACTGTTGGTTGCCGGCAAACTGCGAGCCCTGCCTCGTGATGAGATGATTACCGCCCAGTTGCGATGCAACGTCGGGTCCGCCGTGGGCGATCTGCCAAAGCGAGATGCTATGGAAAGCCGAAGCTTTGCGCGGGGGCCGGGGGGCGTTCCTTCGTGCGTGTGAGCAGTTTCCAATTTCTTTGCTGTAGAAGCGCTCGCAAATCAAGCCAGCCAAGGTTGACTTGCCTGACAACAGGACTCGGGGCTGTCCCGTTCCTGTTTGTAGGGTGCCCAGAACATCTGTTGTTGCAAGTCCCACTGTGAGTTCCGGGTATGAGCGTTTTGAGGTGCATCCTGGCCACATTGGAATCTGGGGCTTGTCCGTGGCCAACGCCACTACCTCAAGCGGTGGCCACTCCCGCATAGCACACTTCGGCGCCTCAGAGCCTCAGGCAGTGGCCGCCGGCATGATGCTGGCAGCGTCTTCCGGCATGCTGCTCGAGGCGGTGAGTTCAGTCAGTCCAGTGAACAAGAGGAGAACAGACTGTGTCGTCAGGCTCACGAGCACTGTGGGTTTCTGGACTGGCAGATCTTCGCCGGACTTCTGGCAAGACCCTCAAACAGCTCAAGATACTGATTACCGGAGTACCGTGGTCCACTTGCCCCGCCGCTTCTTATCAGGCAGGTGGGCTTTTCATCAGAGCGAGCGAGGGCCTGCATGGCGACGACGAGGAAGAGGCGCGCGCGCGCGAGCACCGCATCTGGGACTTCACACACCAAGCCTAGTGCCGCTCCACCGATCAGCTTAGCCGACACAGAGCCAGAGTCTGCTTTTCAAAACCTCCAGGAGTCGGAGATCGCCGCATTGCACGAAGCGCTCGTCGAGAGGACTCGGCACACAGCACACACGGCCTTTGCGTTCTCAGCTGTTTCCCTGTGCAGTCGAGCAAGCCTTCGACACACATAGTACACACATTCAACGGCAAAGCTTACCACCATAGTCCTGTCTGTTTTGCATCAAGTCTTTGGAGAGGTTGAAGGGGCCGCCACATCGTGCAGTCATGTTTTCGATGTTGAAAGCTCCAAACGAATCAGCGGAGTCTTTACCAGGTTCGGCATGCTTCCTGTCTAAGCCGGCAGCGGTCGAACCGAAGATGGTGCCTGTCACAGTCTGACGTGCCTAAGTAAGAAGTCTTCGACACCGCGCTCAAGCATGCTCATGGGAACGGTTATGGCAGAAAGCGAGGATGTATCGTTGGACTTGAGACTAGCACATCCAGGAAGCAATGGCGAAAAGCCATGCTTATCTTCACCGTGATGCTCGAGGCTAAGTTTCTCTTGTTACACGATGGGACGTGTGCTGGTGCTCTGGGCTCTCTGAAGAATTAGCAACCCAACACAACTGCAACACCATCATCACTTCATAACAACTCATCGCCATCCCCGTCATAAGGTTAATCATCGAAACTACCGTCATCATCATCCCACCGAACACAACAGACAGATGATGGCTGCCACTCTCCTCAACAGCTTCTTTCGATTCGCCGACACAGCTAGGTTCTGCCACTCTGCAGCGGAAGGTATCGCGGTGGGCGTGGCCTTCAGCAGGCAGAGCATCTCGAGACGGCCCAACTTCAGACCTGGGGTTTTCGGCCCGAACAGGCGATTGAACCATGAGTTCGGGGTCTACATCTCCTTGCTCCTTGCCGCCAGGGCCTCCGCATTAAGCAGTGCAGCACGTCCTTCCGAATTTAGGTGTCGGGGCCTCCCCGGCTTATGCCCTTGACGTTTCAGTTTCAGGTGCACAACGTTCCTGAGGGCCTCGCGGTTGCACTTGTTCTGGTTCCACGTCTGCCTGGCCCCGTTTGCAACTGCAAGAGATCCCGCGCAATCATGTCGACAGCACAGTCATTCCGTGCCAGGTGGAGTTTCTGCGACCCTAACAGCTCTGATTGCTATCTTGACAAGTGTCCCACAGCCGCCACTGGCACGCCACGCAGCTTTGCACTTTCTCGCTCATTAATTGTGAAGAGAAAACCATGTGAGCCGAGGCCCTAGCTGCGTTCCTCTTTGTGGAAGTGGGCTCCCAAGTGTCGACTTTCGTGCGCTGTCTCCTTCAGTCTCTGGGTGCGCTGCTTGCTGTACCGGAAACGACTTGTCGAGAAGGGATCTACTCAAAAGGTTGGCTCGTTTTCGTGAAGCTCAAAATCTCAGCTGCAGACGGCTCTGCCCCTGTCGCTGTTTCTCGCATGCCTGGAGTGAGGGAACCGTCAAAAGACTTCAAACAAGGAAGACCAGGCCAAGCCACGTGGATGTGGGAAATATGTCGAGCTTTCTTAACGACGGCGCTCAGACCAGGAAGGCCGGAAGAGGACGGCTTTTTTGGAAGATCTTGAATATCCAGAAAGGTGCACAGTGCAAACTGTATGCAGGCTCATTACTGCAAGCAGGACCAAGGACTCGTTCTCGTGTAGCAGGTTCGATGCTGCCGCAGCTGCTCTAATCGTATCCCGGTCCGTTACAAATCCAAGCACCCTAATTGAGCCGTTCTCACGAGCTGGGGTCTGGGATCGGAGACCTAGGTTTTTCAATGGCTGCTGCCACTGGGGCTTGCATTTGCTGCAGGCGGGGCTGGAGCTTTCCTACACTGATGCCACTCCCCAGGACCCTGGTTCTACTTTCAAGACGCAGACCGACACTCAATTAGCGGATAGATCTACAGCGCGATGCAATGCATGATATATACTACAACATATTTAAATGCACACGCATACATGCATGCAGAGACAGACAGACAAACAGATAGACACGCACATACCCCCCAACGCAAACAGAGAGATGCACAGACAACCATACATAGATACATGCATGCTCACGTGAATACATGCATCATTGCCGAAAGGTGCAATGGTCTATGTAAGCCTTCACGAACTTTTGGTCGAGTCAGTGGAGCAGCTGGGGGTGACCAAGGCCACCCTAGCTCGGGCCTGAGAACGGCTAAGGCTCTGTGGAGTTGCCCCCTTTTCCAGGTAGTTGCGTGTGTGATAAGTCGGAGAGATGGGCACGGGCACCGGAATCACTCAGGGCCTGCATTCCAGGCATATTCCGACTCTGCAACCTAGCCTGTCGCACTTCAGCGTCACGCTCGTGCTGAGCACATCACAAACTTTGCGTTGGAAAGTCGTTGAGCATGCTTCCATCGGTGGGAAGTGTTGACAGATGCCCTGAAAGAAAGCGGCTATCCTGCGACCGAGGCATCTTCACTGTCCTTTGTCACGATGGCCGGATGTATTTACGCATTGCAGCTGCTTGCCTTGTGGTTATTTTTGCGACTAGCTGGGTTGTACGGCGGCATAGCCGGCACAGCTCACCCTACCAAGTATGCGCTCAGGTTCATCACCGGTATCTGATTCATTTTTCCTTCATCGACTTCGACGCGACAGGAGAGTATCTTGAGTGTGTTGGAGCGACTGCATGCCACTGTGTGCAGAAGACAACTGGTGAGGAGTGACCGGGAGACTTGAGCAGGGCGCATGGTGCCTTGCAAGCAGCCATGAGCAGTCGTCGCTCTCCAAATCGCCGAACTCCGAAAATCCAAATGTCCCTGCCAAAAGAGCAGAAGATCGACTGCCACACTCCGAAGGGAGCAAAGGCTGGCGCTTGGCTTTCAGCACTCTACCATCCTGGCGGAACACCACGCTGAACTTGGGGAGACTGCTGCTGTACAGCTTATTTAGACTGAGCTTTCTGAGGTAGCTCGGGACTTGGGGCACTTCCCGTAGAAAGCGTGATGCCTCGCTCTCATTAGTGCGAAAATGGCTCGTGCAGTGTGGTCTGGGAAACGTGTCGATGGATGCCGATACCGCCATCAAGTCACATTCTTCCCTGTTGAGAATCGGCAGATGCAGCGCAGTGCTCGGCTCCCGAGTGTGAACCATTTGCAGCCAGCTACCTGTGACAGTGTTTTGTTCAGCTTTCGGGTGTCGGCTTTGCGCATGGGCAGCCATCATTGAAGACGTACAGACAAAGTACGCTCGTCGTCGTCTTACAGCCATGCTCGATGAAGGCTGCGGCAGAGGCGTGCGTTTGCTGTCGTCCTATACACTGGGCCAATACACAGACCCGTCGATCTTCATGTGCAGGCTTCTGAACGCAACCACACTTGATGCATTCGTGTGCAGGTGCGTACCTTATGACCATCCTGCACATGGATGTATGAGTGCATGTCATGCATGCCCGCAACGTAAGTCTGTATGCATGTGTTGTCTGCGTGTCTGCATGCATGCAATCTGTCGTGTAACATAGTGTAATGCAACGTGATGTGGCCATACGAGGCAAGACAAGGCACTGCAATGTAATGTATGTCGTGTGATGTTAGTTATGATTATGTGATGCTCGTATGTATGAAGGTAGGTGTGTATGGTGTATGTGTATGTATATGTTTATGTGAAGATGTGTATGTATGTTCCTATGTGTGTGTATGTGTACATATCCAGATACACACATATGCATGTGCCTCCATGCTGCGTGCATCTGTGCGAAGGCCTGAAAAATGTGCAGAAAGCATGTGTGAAAAGAAGTGAAGGTTAGCATGCAACTACGCGTGCATGCATGTGGCACGTACAACTCTTCGGGCCTTCGGGTCTTCGATGCCGCTCCAATTTTTATTCTCTTCGAGACTTGTGTGCAGGTGTCTGGATTCGTTGAGATATATGTACTATCTGGCACTACATTGTGGGCTAACAAGAGATATGCCGGTGCCGCTGCTGCTCAGGATCCAACCCTGTTGGAAAAGCAGCTTCGCAAGGCCTAGAGCCCCGGCCATCTCGGCTCCGGCACCCAGGGTCCCCACTTGATGAACTTGGAACTGGCAGGCTTCTGCGGAAGGTCGGCTTGAAGATGTGAAGCTGCTACTCCAACAGGCCAGCTACGTCTTTCCAGTCATGTGACTGGGCTGCACCCGCTGCATGCAGGTCTCTGTAAATGCGAAGAACGACTCGGGAAGTACTCCGCTCCATGAGGCCCCCGTTTTTCGTGGCAGAGGCATAAGACATTATACTGTAGTATAGTTTCGTACAGTATATAATATTATGTTATCTTATAAGATATAGCCAACGGAACCGCTCGTCAGGCGGCCTTCGCCGGGCACGTCGAGGCTCGGCTCGACCTGGTGACTCTTCGCGCAGCCACGGCATTTGGAGGTTTGTGCCGTTCTGCTGGCGCACGGCGCCGAGGCCATCTTTGGGACATGCATTCTGCATGAGCCTGAAATCTATGTGCTTGGCTTATGCTTGGCATTGCTCCGCCTCTGAAAGCATGTCGCCCGTGCCTATATCAAGCGAGTCAGGTAGTCTTGAATGTACCTCCAGGTTCTAGTGAAAGAGTACAAGTAGCTGGATAATGCAGCAAGCAGCCGAAAGGCAATCATTTCATCTCAGCAGGCGAGTGTGTGGCACACCACCAGATTCGATGTAGCAGCCTGGTGGTTGCGCATTTCTTCACATCATTTGTTGGGTCGGCACACGCCTCAGAGACGTTCGTCTAACACGGTCCCGTAACTTCCAAAGTTTGTTCTGCCCATCAGGAAACGATGCCAACGAGGAGATTCTCAAGATTCGCAAGGTGCCACTCGAGGGCCTCTTCGTGCTGCCTAAACAGAGGGACTTGAAGCACATGTTAATATGTTACCAGTATGGTATGCTGGAGCCAACTTCAGCTTCGGCTCGGTCCCCACAAGAAGGGTCCTCAAGTTCTCCCAGGGCACGAACAGTTGGGGGAGGCTGCGCAACGCCTATAGCCACAGCTGGCATTTGTTCAAGAGACACTTTGTCGAAGTTTATGAATCTGAAATCCTGGCCGTACCAGATGCATTGAAGTAGCGCGCAAGACTCGGGTGGCTAGACTCTTCGAAGGCTGCACAACAGCCAAGCAGCGGCTGTTAGCGAAGCAGTGTGCATGGGCACCAAAGGGCAGAGATGGCAAAATCGCAGATTTGTTAGCTGGACCTTCTGCCTGCGTAAGCGTAAGACGCATGAGAGTCGCTCAACCTCGAAGGATCGAAGGAAAAAGCTATGAGCCTCGCAAAGCTCCCTGTGAATCACAGACACCCACAACAGGCGGAGCGATGAGAGGCGTAGAAAGGGCCAGAGCTGCATCCAGCCGAATGTCTACTGATTTTCCTACGCTTCCCTCTACTCGATGATAAGCGCAACATTCGCCGCTTGTGCTCGGGGAGGCCTGTTTGTCTGCAGTGGTCCTCAGCAGCTCGTCAAGCAAAGAAGGATGCTGGGGGTGGGCACCTGTTCAACTGCAGCTGTGTCAAGACTACTTTCTGTGCTTTTTCACTGACCCAGGCAGTCGTGCTGGCGGCAGCTTGCATATGCCTGTGTGAGCATCTTCCCTTTGTCGCTGGTCCCGTAAAGGCGCGCCTTTGTGTTGCCATTCAGCCTACTCATGTAGACCGCAAGAGCAGGTGTCCGCGAAGAGGCCGCTTCCTTAGCATCCGACTCAAGCAATCGGCGATTCGTGACCGGTCACCAAGAGCACGCATGCGAATGTCCATGACTGCCAGCAATACCGCATGTGCGTGCCATCACACCATTCTGCAAGGCATAGTACAACGCGATTACGGGCGCTCAGCGGCCGAACTTCAAGAGCTATCGTGGCCGAGAGCTTGATGTCGTGACATCATCCATGAAGTGTTGCAGACAGTCGTGTGAACTGTATTTCTCCACGCTGCAACGCCGCAGCTGCAGCATGAGGTCGTGTCAGATGCCACGGGCTCCGCTCTTGGCAGCTTGCGGTTCTTGTTCTGCGCATGATCCTGTGAAAGTCTTCCTCACTTGTCTCATGGGACTCTGGATGTGCTAGCTGCTAGCACATGCTTGAACGGGTTGGGTTGCCAGATCTTGTAAAGAGCAGCCCCATGAGGTCATCCTTCAGTTTGCGGAGATCTGATGCGTGTGCAGATGCGCAGAATCTGTTTCGCCAATGAGGTGCAACCGCAGGCAAGCTTCTGGACGGCCTGCTTGCGCAGCTGCAGCCCCGAGTTGACTGCATTGCTTGGTTCGCGACCAGGCTTCTAGTTGGATTCGTGTGAGGTTCGAAGATCCTGGCGAGATTGATCTCATCCGTGCTAGCAAGGCTACCCGGAAAACGAGATTGCCTTCCGTAGACGATAACGTTGGAGCAGAAGAGCACAGAAGCTGTGCAGCTTTGGCCAGCCTACTCATGCTCCTGTTCCTCCCGCAGCAGGTGACCACGGTTGATCAACTTCACAGCCTGATCCAGAGTACGCAGACAGGATGGGTGAAGTTGATTTCCACGCCAACACAACTTGAGCTGCAACATCTCAGCAGGCAGCAGTACATTAGTTTTGGCAACATTCGTTGCGTGGCCCTTACAGAAGATCTCGAAGGCATTCCTTCTTCCTCCGCAGTTGCTCATAACACCTCATTACTCATTACTGTACCTTTTGTCCGCGCCACTGCCAGTGAACTGAGGATCCAACTCTTGTTGGGTGGGTTGAGGGCCCGGTTTCTTAAGGCGCTGTGGGTCAGCTATCGGGCCATGAGCAAACCCAGGCGAAATCCTTCTGTGAGGAAGCGGGTATACGTTTTATTGATGTCGAGTGCTCAGAGGCTCAGAGGAGTTCATAGATCGGCACTGCTCGGGATGGCCTGGACCTTCCTCGTTGAAGGTGATGTCACCCCTCTTGGACGATTTCAGCAGCTTCTTCGAGGACACTGCCCTGGGCTTGCCGGGCAGAGCGAACACCGCTCGCCGGGGAGCCCAGAACACAGATTCGAAGTCGAAGACTCTCTCGCTGATTTCTCAAAGCCTCGCGGAGGCCTGGACGAGAGAAAAGTTTCAAACTTGGTTTCCAAGGAGTTCCTGGGGCCACTGCCTCGGGGCGCTTGCCACGAAGCGCCGCCTGAAGGATTCTGCCTGCCTTCCAGGATGGTGGAAGCTGTCAAATGGGGACAGAAGCACGTCTCCGGCTTGAACCCTCAGGCGGGTTCTCTTGCGTATCGCCCACCGCCCTCTAAGAACTTGGATCTCATGGTTCTTTGACTGAGGGGAGGTATGAAGTCAGTTCGGTGACAGCTGCCGTAGCGAGATGTCTCCCTTCCGTGCTACCCCCTGGCTTCAGGGATGGGGAGAAGCTGATATTGTTCTGATAGGCCGGTGCCTGAGGTCCGAGGTTCTGGAGACACGCGAGTCTTGAAAACGGGAGCATTGCTAAGGTCCGTCTCGAGTGGACAAAGGCAGCTTGCCACAAGCCTTTTGAAGACAAAGAGATGGATTGGACATAAAACGTACCTAGGTACTACCGTCACCTGCACACGAGAGCACTCCCACTTGCCGAAGGTGCTGTAGCCCTCGAGTTGGCACGGCGCGGTGTCAAGGCGAACCTCCGAATGGAAGCTCTCTAGTCGCGGGCTGGGCGAAGAAAGGGCAAGCCTTACGCACAAAGCCGCAGAGCCCAAGAATGAACATCATTCATCATTCGCCAACCGAACTCACAAGGTATTCTGTCGTTTTAATTGAAGGGCATTAGGGATGCTATTCGCCCGACGTGTGGCTCGGTGATCTTAGGGAAGGCCAACGAAGGTTCGTCGCAACGATTCGGTTCAAGCCGGAAGCTTCGAGACCGAGCGCTTGCTAAATTAATCCACCCGGCATGGCAACTGCGAGGCGAAGGCGGATATCGGAGATAGCCGTCGCATGCGGCTGGCTTGCTTGGCCTGCCTGGCCATCATGCTGGACACACAGGGTATGGCATCAATTGCATCCCCACCCACAACAAATGCTGCGATGCGACGGCAGGGGTCTGGGCAGTGCCCCGTGCATGTTGCACGCCTATACGAGTTGGAGCCAGGAAAGCTCGGAAGATTTACTCAAAGCCTTACGACGGGCACTGCAGGAGGACACGGCCAGCGCAAGCAGCATGCTGCAGCATCAGTTTCCAAAGGAGACACTAGAGGATGACCAATTTCGCTACTTGATGCGGCTCAGGGAGCGTACCAAGGAGGACAAGGAGTTCGAATTGGCGGGGCTGCTTCTGGACCATGCCAACCCGTATTTGGAGAGTCGGGACTTATTCCTTGAGGACATCCGGTCAGACTCAACGAAGTCATACCGACTCGTGAAACATCCCAAAGTAGTCGCTGCGGAAAAGGCAGCCGCCCTGGCTGAAGGTACCACGGCACGCACGATCGCACGGGCAGCATTGCAGAAGTCCGTATTGGCAGAATCTGTGGCTGCTGTGTCACAGCTTTCGGCCACCACCTCATCTGCGGTTTGGCAGCGATTGCGCTCCGAAGCTGCTTGCAAATGGCCAGCCCTCCCAGGAAGACAGGCTGCAGACTTGGCGATTCTGCTTGCACTGGCAGGCTGTGCAGATCAGAGCCTTTTCGATGAGCTGGGCAGTATCACGAAAAGGGAGATCAATCGAGTGGCCGGCAAATCGGCCTTGATCACGATGCAGCAAATTGTGGAGAAGTGTGCAGCTGCCGGGTATCGGCAGTGCGACTATCCACAACTCTTTCAGGCAGGGCTATCAGCTTTACAGCGCTTAAACTGTCCCAACAGCTCTGGCCTCACCGATCTGAAGAATGGCACGTACTCCTTGCACTCTGAGCGTCCTCTCAGGTGGCTGTTTCGACACGCGACTCGTCAAGGGCGCAAGAGCGTCCCACCAGTGGAGGCCACGGACCTCTCTGAATCTGTCGAAGCATTGAACTGTGGAACGCAAAGCCTGGTCCTCGACTTGGGATGCGGTTTCGGCGTTTCCAGTCTGGGGCTAGCAGTCTCCGGCTTCGGTGTTTTGGCCGTGGACGCTTCGGCGCACTGTGTCGGCTTCGCACGTTCGATGGCGAAGCGTTGGAGACTCTCTCCGCAGAAACTGGGAATCGTTCACGCTGATGCAGAACAGGCACTTGTGACTGTGACCGAAGAATACATTGGCGACGTGTCGTGGGTGTTGATCAACTTCCCGACGCCTTTCGCCAACCTGGATTCAAACGGCCAATGCCTTGGCTGATCTCGGCAGAGAATGAACCGAAGCCAAGTAACAGCCCTTTGATGAGGTACGGATTCGGATACCTTCTCGAGTGGCAACAGTCCCTGACCTGGCCTCAGCTGCAGGTTTGCCACTGCTTCTTTGTACAAGCTCAGGCCACCTGCCAAGAAATATAAACTCTGACGACTTCATGGCAAACAAGCGGATGATTCGAGCTGCAAGAGATTGCCTCCTGAAGCGAGGCGGCAGTGGAATGCTCCTAGAGACTTGTTTGCAGAGATGCAAATCCACTGGCTACATCGTGCATGCTGAATATCACCAAAGGTACAGAGCAATGTGGAGGACTTGGCCGTCAGCTTGCGTGATCTGGCGGAAGCTGATGGCTGGGAAGCTGTCCTGGATGGATCTCTGGGGCCCGAGGTCAGCAAGGCAGGGCCGCAGGGCAAGCTTCAGAAGCGTGCCATCTGCGTAGGACGTACTCGTATTCTAAACTAAAGCACTTCTGTCGTTAATCGACCCACCTTCCTTCCGGGATTGCTGCATACTTACAGTATCAAGCCTGGCAGTTTGCTCTGCTGTATGGCGACTGTGTTCGCAGAGTATGAGCGGAGGGATGAGCTCAGCTTTACGGGAAGGCCTTCAATTCCTCATGTTTGTTGGATCGTACGGCCACGAGTGCCGAAACTCCCGACTGGGGTAACAGAGATGGCTAACTGTGAAGATGATTGTCCAAAGCGTTTCAGTCGCCTGTCAGTCGCTAGTGTCAGTTTTGACAGATGTCTTTGGGTAGCATCTTGCCTGTTGCATTCTGTCAAGTCTCTCTCAGTCTCCGCAGGATCAGGCATCATGGCGTTCACGTCGACAGCAGCAACACGAGCTCCGAGGGGGTCGTAGAGCTCTGGGTCCGGGCTGGCAGCTTGTCCTAAGCCCCTGAGTTTCAAACCTCAATTGCAAGAAAGAAAGACTCTGCATTCCACCCCCAAGGCCCAAGCCCTTCCGAACCCTTCCCAAGCCCAGGCTCGCATCTTCTCCACTGCCAAGGCAAAGATGACTCTGTTCTTCGAGGATGATAGCACTGAATTGCATATAGAGGTGCACGTCTACAATATTAGTTAATCAGTAACGCCAAGATCCAGCCATCATCTACACATAGTAGATGTATGCGCCATGCGCCTTCCGCGAGTCAACGAAACCCAAACACTCCTTATGAAGCACCGCCGGAGCCACATTCCGCTGAATCAGTATGTGCATGCAGAAGTATCTAACAAGTAGCTACAGCCAGAGCAGTGTACGGACTTTAATCAAACTAGCTTCCGATAAGCACAGCCTGCAACATCCCTCCTGAGGCTGGCCACCACAGAGACAGAGGCCCACTACATGGCGGAGCAGATGTCCATACATCGTGCGGCATTGCGGCCAAAATCAGCTTGCCAGTGCTGCTGTGCCACCTCATGTGCTTCCTTGTTGTTGGCAGCAGTAGTCTGAACTGGATGAACGAATTCCTTGCTCCTATCGTCAGAAGGCAGCACGAGACGAAGCTATACGAAGCTGTAAGCCGAAGCGAACTTTTCCTTCCCGGACTTTGTCTGCAGCGAGCTTGAAACAACACCCTTCGCCGCCAGGCAGCGAGCCTCAACATCTCGCCCTATGATCCAGTGCCTGCAGAAGTTTTCGCCCTCAAGCCACACCAGGCCTCACATGGTCCAGCATCTGTTGCTTGTTCATGAACGCATTTGCTGAAAAGGCCTTGGAGTGCATAAGTCTGCTTTTCCAGATCGACGAAACTCACTCCGTCGAAAATCTCGGCAAGACGCATCCCGTTGACCCGTCCAAGACCCGAGATCCGTCAGGGGCGCGTCGAAAGCCGTGGGGATCCGAGGAACCCCTCCAAGGGAGCCCGTCGGGGACCTTTCGGGACTCCGTCGAGGACCGCCCAAGACCCACGAACTCTTGAACCACACCCCAGAATGCTTAAGACTTGGGTTCCCGACGGGTTCGGACAGGTTCCGTCCCAGCCTGTGGCCATGCTATTGAGCCATTCCGGGCAATCTTGAGTTCGGACCCGGGGAAACGCCCCGGTTTTACACCACGGGTTGTGCACCGCAAAACAAGTAAAACTCTAGCATTCCAGGGCCGATTCAGAATACGTGTGCGTGTGTATGTATATATCTATATATGAACATATAAGCAACCCTCGACCTCGGTAACTCTTCGCCAGGTGGGGCTGATAACAATGGACGAGCGACGGATTCTGAAGTTGCGCGTTGACCCCGGAAGCAAGAGCCTGGATCCCCCTCCCTGACAGCACAGCACCGGCAGGTGAGAGTCGAGAAGTCGACATGCAGCGACGCAATCTGCCAGCTGCCTGAGATTGCCCGATGTTTGATTGTCCGAGAAGTCAATGCTCCGACTAGGCGCATGCTCTTGGAGCCAGACTATGCCTCTCCCGAGCGAGTGCGCCATGCTCTCAGTCCTCAGCGTCAGCGTCAGATAGACACGAGTGCGTGACTGCATCGATCTCCTCGCTGACGGCGAGGAAAAGACCTGGAGCTCATGCCGAAGCCCTAGCTGAAGTGTGCAACCTGTGGTTTCAGTGAGCCAGAATTCTTGCCAGGTTTCAGCTCAAACAAGATCACCCCAACTGGCCAGATGCCGTGGATGCTACGTGCGGCCATGCATTTGCAGACATCTCCAGTTCGAGCTCGTACTGTGGAGAGTCCGTGGAAAGCGGCGAAACATTCACTGTCCCAGGTACAAAGCAATCCCCGAGACCGCGTCCATACTGATGGATCAAGCCCGGCTCTCGAACCTCCTCGGACCCGGAAAACCGGCGTTGGCCCCGTGGACAGGTCCGGAAGGGCAAGAAGGCTGAGGCCAAGTAGGCCAAAGAGCCTGCAGACTGTCCTTTTCTGGGCTGTGCGGGTGTGGATAGACTGGCGCAGATAGCGAAGCTGAAATCCAAAGCGTCATTTGTGCTAGAACCATCAGCAGGTGACAGTGACACGTTTCTGCGAGCATCTGCCATCCAAATCTGACGAGTCTGCTCTTGCACAGCCCGAGTCAATGCCAAAAGGGTGCAATCAGGTTTCCTCTTGCACACGGCTCAGCGGCGTGCTTGCCCAGCCTCACCTTCTTATTTGGTATCTTGAACAGCCGCTTTTACTACCATGGGCAAGTTCCATGCTGGAATACCCGCTGCGTCAAGAAGCCCTGCGTTGCAAAGAGAAAACTTGGCAAAGTCTTGGCAGGCGGAGATGGCCAACAATTGAAATCTTCGCGTTTCTAAGCAGGTGACAGAGCTTGACCAATGGGGTGCCACAGCTTTGCACCACGCAGCCACCAGAGGTCAACGTGCCGAGGGCTCAGGCTTCCAGGGAACTAGGAGTCGTGTTTAACAGTTTTGCAACATGTACTGCCCAGGCTGTAGCGCGACTTCTCCTGGCGAGCCAGGCCATTTCTTGGCCGACTTCCCAACCTCGAAAGCCAGCAGCCAGCAAGATTGTAAGCTTCGGAGGCAGACGTAAATGCAATGTGTTGCTGGCTTTCTTATTTCGTCTTCAAACAGAACAAGAGCTTGCAGCTACCTTGAAACGATTCGGAGCCCTGGTCGGTGATGCCAGGACAAGCAACTTGCACATGCCGATCGACTTGGCGCAGGCGAAAGGTTGCTGTCTTAGCGAAAGGAGATTAAGAATGACACGCAAGCTCTATCTCTGCTGTGTACGTGTAGGCCATCTTGACCTTGCCGCAGAGCTTCAACAAGAATCCCTGCGATGTCAGGAGGCTCGATTCATCAGATAAGCCCCATCTTCGGTGTTGGGGCAGTGTGGCTGCTGGTAAATACACGGCTCTCTTTTGCTCATGTTGTGCTGAGCTCGGACGTGGGAGGTCAGCAACATTCATCAAAGGAAGGCATGCTTCAGATGGTGCCTGCCGTGGTCAGCAGAGAAGCCGCGGTTGACGTGCCTATAGTTACCTAGTTGCCCAGGTCCGCAACCTTTGCCGGTACCTTCGTGGTGTTGCTTGCCGGCCTGGCCCTCGTTTCTATGGAAGGATTCGAAGTGCGGCTACAAATGCCCGAGGCCTGTATTGCCGAAGCTGACATCAGCTGACATGTATACCTCCACGACGATCTGTGAGAGCACGGTTTTGCCCACTTCCATCACCACTCCGATGCGACGAAGACCCCGCATGGTGCTAGCCTAGCTAGCAGGTCCAGAACTCCCGACGGAGGATCCAGGATTGGACAGTCGTTCACACCTGAGCAGCGGAGCGTGCGACATCCAAAATCTGGAGTGCACAGCTCATGGCCACAAGAGGGGCGTGATCATGAGCTTGCAGATGCTGGCCGCAGCTTAATCCTGCAGCCTGCAGAAGCAAAGAGACTGGAGATCGGTAACATTTAACAACTGATTTCACATCGGTGCTCAAGTCGTGACTTCGAACTCAGACTCACGATTGCGCTTCAATGTCTGAGTCTCTAAAAGCATGCACATGTTGCAACAGGACAGGAGTAGGAGTAACACGGTGCTGCCCTGCTCGCTAGTTTTCGGCTGCCATGACATGGCTGTCCGCGGCGACCTGGGTGCCAGGAGGAGCCTTCTTTTCATGTGTTTTTCCGCTTTCAGACGTTGGCTTGGTCGTTGCACTCGGGCCTGGCGCATGGGACAATGCTCGGACTTTGCAAGGCCGTGCCTTCTCCTGGATGTCATCCGCGCATGTGAGTTCAAGCTTGACTGGGAAAAGATCGCGAAGTTGCTGCGATATGTTCATGACTCTCAAGGCGCTCTAAGCTGCCCTTACGTTCTGAATATTTCACATGCATGTGAGTGTGTGTACCCAAGTAACTAGCTAGATTGCTGAGCAGTTCTAACCAGGTGTACCACGTATACCCGGAGAGTAGACACTCGCTCAAACACAAAAAGGCCTCGTGATGTTTATACACGCCCAGCCTCTTCATGCTCTCGGACATTCCAGATACCACCGGCTTTCCAGACATTCCAGCATTACTCTTATAGAATTTGGATGCATTCCATGATGGGCATGTAAGTTTCTGAAACGTTACCCTAAATAATAGGATGTTTGTTATGAGGACCCCCTAAAAGAACGTATCGCAAATTTTCTGAAACTCCTTTCTGGGGATAGCATGCGTCAACTCGTATGCTTGTAAAATATTTCACCCGGCATGGCAAAATATTTCATCCGGTATATTTTTGGGAGATTCCGAGGTAAAGCGCGGGGCGTTTTATGAGATAATTTGAAAATCCAAATAAAATGAGGCATCTTATTCTAGATATAGATATATTTCTCAATTTGGTATATATATATAAGGATTCTATATAATTAATAGAATGAAATAACGAATCTATATCATTACGTCTGCGCGTATGGTCGTTAAATCATTTCCATGAAATTCTCGGGAATAATCATAGCCTTCTTTTCCACTTTTTCTCACACTTATTTTTTACCATTCTTTTATTTTTTTTTTCTTTGGTTTTCTTTCTTATTTTTTACACTTTTTTTCTTCTCTTCTTTTATTTTTTTTTATAACCTTTTTTTTTATCCTTTTGTTTTTTTTTTTTTTTTTTTTTTTTTTTTTTTGTTATTTTTTTTTTTTTTTTTTTTTTTTTTTTTTTTTTTTATTTTTTTTTTTTCTTTCTTTTTTTTTTTTTTTTTTTTTTTTTTTTTTTTTTTTTTTTTTTTTTTTTTTTTTTTTTTTTTTTTTTTTTTTTGTTTTTTTTTTTTTTTTTTTTTTTTTTTTTTTTTTTTTTTTTTTTTTTTTTTCCTTTCTTTTTTTTTTTATTTTTT